ACGAAGTCGTACATTTATGAGAATGAAGTCGTAAATGTACGAGATTAACGTCGTAAATTTATGAGAATAAGGTCGTAAATGTACGAGATTAAAGTCGTAAATTTACGAGAATTAAGTCGTAAATTTACGAGAACGAAGTCGTAAATTTACGAGAATGAAGTCCTAAATGTACGAGATTAAAGTCATAAATGTACGAGATTAAAGTTGTAAATTTACAAGATTAAACCACAACACTAACCATAATCACACACATACACACACACACACACAATCTCCCACCAGGGAGGGCAGATAAGCACCCCTGCACTAAGAAATGTTGTCAATAAATAGTTTTGTGTCTTTTATTACATTTTACCCAAAACTGCCACCGCAACCAAAATCTCACTCTGAACTCAGTTCAAAACTTGAGAGCCCTGCCAATTTATAGCTAACGTAAGCGCTGTTGCTTAATGTTGTGTAGTAGGCCTTACACTGCCACCCTATGTTTCAGGGTGGTGGTTGGATAAGGACTGTAATGTGCTCTAGAATTACAAGTATTATAATACTTAATACGCCCCTTTAACATAACGGGGGTTAACTGTAATTTTCAAGTTAGCAATGTTCAATTTGTATTTTTAAGACGACAACATACTTAACCCAGGTGTAACGAGGTGCTGACTATTGTTAGCCGTTGTGTATTTGCAATGTTTTTTTTTTATTATGGCTTGATGTAAACAGATGGAAAGTTTTTATTCTTCTACAAATTACTTCAGCAAGGTCCGTTTTTGCACCTATCCTGGGCAGCCAGTTGGTTCTGCATTGTCGTTGAATGTAACTTACTAGCTTTAGGTTCTTGATCACATTTAGCATTATTTTGAAGCCTGACATCACAGACTAAACTGAAGCATGGGATAAGGGAATACTCCTAAAATAAACTTTTCAGGGTGGGGTGGGGGGCATGAGTAGTGCTTCAGATATCTTTATGTTGAGATTAACAAAACGCAACAGGGATAAACAAATGTTTGTGTTTTTAAATTCTACAAATAAGATGCCAGAGAATGATTGTTGTGGTCTGGTTCTTTTGAGTTTTAATGTGCCTGTTCTACAAACTGAAAGTGAAAGCTTTCATGTAGATAAAGGAAATGTTTGTTTAAAAATTGCAGGCACCCTTACTGTCAACTGCAGATAATCACCATGCCATCGGCCAATATAAAGTACATTTGAGCACAGATGGCCTTGTGGTTTGGTTGTATCCAATCGTACGGAGGCTGTGGTCTTCCGGCATCAAGTCTGGCCGGCTGCCTCTTTCCTGCATGTCCCAACTCTCTCAAAATTTATGTCTCCGTCTTTTGTCCTGTCTTAAAAAGACTATTTTCAAAAATAAGAATTAGGTTAATAAATAAGCTGAAATAAGGAAGTCCATCTTGGTTAATCAGAGCCATTTTACTGATGTTTTCTGTCTTGCATCCTTTATAGGAGGATTTCCAAAACATCCTGAAGGAGGCTGGAGACAAGCTGGTGGTGGTGGACTTCACTGCCACGTGGTGTGGCCCCTGTAAACGGATCGGCCCAAAGTTTGTTGTGAGTGAATTGTTTTCATTGTGCCATAGCAACCTTTTTGTTTTTTTTAAAAAAGTTATTGGAAAAGAAGAAACGTAGACGTAAAATGCTTTTGAGATGGTGTTGGTACCTTTAAAAGCTGTGTGGATATTTGTGTTTTTGTTACAGACACAAATGTCAAATGTCAAATAGTCTGTTAGTTATTTAAGAGAGCCCTCTCCAGTCATCAGAGACTCTTGTAGCAGCTAAAGCTTCTCTTTAAAGGAGAGGCTAATTTGTTGCTGTGGAAACCTTTTGTCAACCTTCTTAATGGAAACATTAGATGACTGGAAAACCTTAGAAATGATAGAGAATTTTTTTTTTTTTTGACACTGTGTTTTTAATTATCCAAGAGAAATCCCCAGTATGTTCTTCCCCTGACGTGATGTGGCAGCAGTCATCATGTTCAGTCCTTCAAACTCACTGATCATTGATTCTCTCGCAGGAAGAGTCGAAAAAACCTGAAAACCAGAATGTGATTTTCCTGAAGGTGGACGTGGATGAGGCTCAGGTAAGTGTGTGTGAGGGCTGGGACTGTAAATGATTTCAATAAGGACCATAGAATTTAACTCAAGTGATAATAATCTTTACATAGATTTAAATGTAGAGAGATCAAACTGTCTATTAAGAGATCGAACACAGCAAGTAAGTCTGCAGTTTTGCATGCGACATATTGATCTGAGTACACGGCCATTCCATCAGCAAAGCATCGTTTGAGCTTTTACTGGCGTCACTTCAAGTGTTCATGCAACACAACAACTTGTATCTTATTCCCAATCAAGGTCTCCATCCCAAACCAGTAACACTCTGGACTTTGTAATGGTGAATCATCTTTGGGCAATTGCCATTGAACCTGTTGTTAGTTGAGACAAAGGTTTTCCCTTTCGCTGGTAACGATGTCATTAATACTCAAAACAATGTGGACTATTTCTAAAATCTACTCCACAAAGCCATGTGGATCCCCAGCTGCTTCATGTGACTAACGTTTCTCCCTCTCACAGCAGCAACCAAGTGACATAAGAGGCAGCTTTGTAATTCTTACAGAAATGAAATCTGGGACTAGAGTTTAACCTAAATTACCATCAGGTTTTTCACAGCTTTGTTGAGAGGCATTACTAAGAGGTGTCACACACAGGGTGGGCCGATCAAATGCTGTAAGGTCATGCTGCTGCTGCGCTCCTGGATGAAATGTAGAAATCTAAGGAATCTGAATTATTTACTCTTATTCTCTAGAAAAAAGGGAACAATGTCAGTAAGAGCAAACGATCAGCTTTGAGTCTGATTGGACACACAGGTGCTGACAGGAAGTGACCAGAGGCAAAGCACAACATTGACTGCAGTTCTTGAGAGCTCTAATCAGTATAGAAACCATCTTATAAGTCATCGTTTATCAAACAAAAACCATCGTCACAACCATCATCATCATCAATAATATGGAGACCATCATCATTAAGTTAGTAGGTATTCATGAAAGAGCTGGGTCTTTCGCTTTTTCTTAAAGATGCGGAGGGACTCTGCAGATCGAATGGAGTTTGGAAGTTCATTCCACCACCGGGGGGCAACATAGGAGAAGAGTCTCGTCAGAGACTTAGGACCCTGTTGTGAAGGTTGGATCAGACTCCTTTCATTGGCAGAGCGTAGTGGGCGGGAGGGAGTGTAGACCTGGATGAGAGAGTTAAAGTAAGAAGGAGCCGTTTTTGTCGCTGTTTTGTAAGCGAGCAGCAGAGTTTTAAATTTGATGCGAGCAGTAACTGGGAGCCAGTGTAAGGAGATGAACAGCGGAGTGACATGTGCTCTTTTAGGAAGGTTTGAAGACCAGTCGTGCTGCTACATTTTGTATCATTTGCAGGGGTTTGATAGTGCATGTAGGAAGACCTGCCATTAGAGAGTTGCAATAATCGATGCGTGATATCACAAGAGCCTGTACCAGGAGTTGTGTAGCGTGTTCTGACAGGTAAGGTCTGATCTTCCTGATGTTGTACAGGGCAAATCGACATGACCGGGCAATCGAGGCTACTTGAACCTTAAAAGTTAGCTGGTCATCAATCATGACACCCAGGTTCCGGGCAGACTTTGTGGGCATGAGTTTGGTTGTTCCAAGCTGGATATTGATCTGTGGTTGCATAGAGGGACTGGCTGGGATGACAAGGAGCTCAGTCTTTGAAAGATTGAGTTGAAGGTGCCGTTCATTCATCCATCTAGAGATATCAGCAAGGCATGATGAGATTCTTGCAGAGACTGTAACATCGTCTGGCGGGAATGACAGGAAGAGCTGGGTATCGTCAGCATAGCAGTGGTATGAGAAGCCATGAGAGTGGATTATTGAACCAAGTGAGCTTGTGTATATGGAGAAGAGAAGGGGACCAAGCACTGACCCTTGAGGTACCCCTGTGGATAAGCTGTGCGCTTTGGACACAATCTACTATCTCCTGTGTTGAGTTTATACTCCTTTATTGAAGAGTCAGACTTGAACTTTTTGTTGGATGCTGTCATCACGTATAAACCTGTTTGTTTCATGCTTGGACACCTTTTAAGTATTTAGTTTGGACTCAGTCCAGTGATCTAACGTTTGTCCTCTTTGTTCTTTCAAGGATGTGAGTGTACATTATGAAATCCGGTCCATGCCAACATTCCAATTTTACAAGAATGGCGTGAAGGTAAGACTACACTCAAACATGGAAAATATGGAGCAACATCATTATTTGTTTAGAGTCCGGTTTTGTTCCCCAACAACTCATCACTGACTTGATTTAATCAGAATGATTGTCTCTGCTCTTATTAAAACATGAGTAACAACAAAGTGGTCCTTTAACACCGCTGATGTCTGAAGAAATCATGTGTACTTATTTCAATCAAACTCCCATTACCATGCATGAGGATCGAAGTGAGCTGAAAAGTTAAACTGGATATAAAAAAGGCGTTCAATCCATCAGAAAAGAAGCATTACCATCATTTTTAATGAATACTGTATTTCTTGTCTTTCAGATCGACGAGTTCTCCGGGGCTGATGTCGCCAAACTGGTCGAGAAAATCCAAGCTCACAGAACATAAAGCCACCGTTGCTCTCTCTGTATGTGCTGAAAAAAAATCCAGTTTCATGTTATGTACAGTTAAAAACCAGGTTCTTTATCCCACACAGGCAATCATTTATTCCACTCATGTATCAGAGTCCGCTCAGTGTTTGTATTGTTTGTCTTTAATTGGATCAAACCCTGATGACTTTTTAATTCAGTTTTTTATGGCAGAATTGGCTTTGTCCTGACCAACAGCAGAACTTTCTTTGTTAAGTTGTGTCCAATAAATGAAATCAGTTACAGAAGAGCTGTCTCTGGTCATTCTTGTTTAAAATGCATTAATCATGACTCAGCAGATACACACACATGACACTGTTCCTTTAAGAGCAAAGACCACTCCACACTGAATGGTATTTTATGCTTTAATAAAAATGTGAGAATAGTTTACACATATACATCGGACAATCACATCAATAGTTTTTACACATGGTACAAGTGTATAGCAGCATACGTTTAATACTGTTTGAGTCTCTATATGAAAAAATACAGCTTTATTTTACAAAATGGATCTTTGCAGAGAGATGAGAATGAAGTGAGTCAGTTAAATATACAAGATTTCCCTTCATGAGACGTGGCGGTGTTTTAGAAGTGATAGTATCCTGATTTCCTCTTCCTGCAGGAGAAGACAACACATTGAATAGTCATGTATAATATTCATTATTGAAGTAACTACACGGCTAAACATTGGAGCTATAACTGCAACCATCCACGAGGAATTTAATTTGAATACTTTATCGGTTTTACTACGCTCATGGAGAAATCTGCTTCACATTTTCAGCCTCTTATTTAAAGTAAATGCTAACTATTAGCCGTTTTCCAGTTCCTATGAAAACTACAGCTTTAAAAAAAACACTTCAGTGCAAATTCAGTGTTCACCTCTTACAGAGGTACGGCAAGCTGCAAGGAAAAAAATATCATAAGATGGGTTATTGCACTTTACTGTAATCAATAGAGTATATTTCCAAGCAGGAAAGAGCTCTCTCAACTGGATCCATTCATCACTTAGTCATGAAAACTCTGACTGAAGTGCTCATGGTGGATGACTCATCAGAAACTTTTGGGACTTTTCGTGTATATTTGTTTAACTAAGACGTGAGCTCATGCAGCAGCTGTTATACATTTAATATGTAATCAGAATATTGATTTATTTTTGGTGGAAAATTAACAGAAATAGTTTCTATGAGCTCTATAAACCCACTTCCATTAATGATCACTGTAAATATTATAACAGATTTTAAAAAAAAATTGACAGTTTTTCCATCATTATTCTTTTTTTTAAATACCTTGAGCAGTCGTGTCCGCTCCAGCCTGCACTGCAGTGACATCTGTTGGGCCTGATGCAGCGGCCTCCATTCAGACAAGGTGATGAACACACAGCTGTGGACATGACACACACACATACACACACCTCAGTGTCATCATCATGACTGTAACTGTGCTCAGGAGGACTTCCAAGGAAGACAGAAAAATGCTGCACATCTGTTCTAGTCATGATCTTTGAACATGTGAGCAAAAAGGAAACTAAGCAGATATTTCTAATGTTGTTCTTCTGTGTGTGTCTACCCTTCTTCCTGCATCTACCGCTATCCCTCTTTATGAGCCCAGCACACTTTCAGCAGATGGCTGTTCATCATGAGTCTGGTTCTGCTCGAGGTTTCTGCCTCTTAAAGGAAGTTTGTCTTTGCCACTGTAACTTTGCTAAATGTTTCTCATTGCTCCTGATGGATTCATGTCGTGTCTTTGAGGATAATAAAACAGTGAGTGCGGTCTTTTACCTGCTCTGTTGCAAAGTATCTTGAGAGAAGATTGATTAGTAGTAAATAACCCTCTGAGGTACTATAGATGCTTGATTTCATAATTTGCACACAGACCATGTCTGGGAGATTGCACAGAGTAAAGTCTATATTTTGGTGGATGTGCCCTTTAAAGGAGGCTGATTCACCTCCTCCAGCTTTGAGCTCTCAGAGCACAAAAGCTGCTGTCACATACTGACGTGACACACAGATGGTTAAGTGATTACTCACTCTCTCTCCATGATGCCATCAGCCATTATCTACCCTCATTAACACGCTCATTGAGAGAACCCACTGAGAGGTGGCTGCTGGGAAATAATTAGTAGTTATGAAGGAATATTTCACGTTTCAACACGGTTAAACTAAAATAAACATCGGGAAACAGGACTAAAAGTGTAAAATGCTGTAGTATAAACTACCTTAACTTCCTGAAAAGGGTCCCCGAACTTCAAGATTTGAGTAAAAATTAATATAATTTCAGCCATCTTTCTTATTAAATGTTGTTGACACATTTTAGCATTCAAAGGGACAAAGTGACATCATCACTTTTGGCTACCTGGTTAATAGTCTCGGGCTGGTTTCTGTCACTAAAAGATGGAAACATCAGCTCGCCAGTGTGTGTTTCCTCTTTACATTCAGAATTATGACATCTTTCTAAGAGATACATATATATATATATACATATGGGGGGGGGGGGCTTTTATGCCTTTATTTTAAGTGGATAAAGTAAGGAGAGAGTTGCAGCCGCAAGTCGGATTTAAACCCGGGCTACCCGGTTGGAGAATGATAGCCTCTGTACATGGAGCACGACCTAACCACTAGGCCATCGACGCCCGTTATTCGTTCTCTTTTTATCTCCTCTGTTTTGTGTTAACATGTTTGTGTTTGCTGTTTGTTCTAGTGCTTCTGGAAAGTCTTCTTATCATCATCTATTATGCACATTCAGAAACATTTGAATGCACCTGGATGATTCAAACTACATTATTTATCTGGAATATTTTTCATTTATACCCTTGACAACAGTTTGTAATATAACTCGTGTTCAGCGCAATTTAAAAATAGGCCTGTTCATATTTAGAAAGTGATTAAATCTATGGCGTCAGTGTTCCAATCCCCTCAGCTGGATTCCTGGACTGGTAGGACAGCACTCACCACTGTGACAGCGTGTCCCCGTCCACCCTGTGGGACACTCACACTGGTAGGGTGCCACACAACGCCCGCCGTTCAGGCATGGCAGGATGCAGATCGCTGTTATTGAAGAGAGACAGAGGGTAAACAGGAAATCATTTCATCTCTCTCTGTGAAAAACACCAGATCGAGTTGTCCTCGTTACTATGTGTGATGAGACCACAGAGTTCAAAAGACGCAGTTCGTTTGACATTGACGTATAATGCATTATAAATCTACCCTCATGAGGCGTTATTGTCACTGCTTACAACACTTTATAAACGTTGCTATAAGCTCTTGTGAATGATTAGAATCAAAGGCGCTTCTTGGAAACAGGCAAGGCGGGCAACTGCTTGGGGCCCCTGGCAAGGAGGGGGGGGGGGGAGGAAGTGGGAGGGGGAGGGGCCTCAAAGGCTAACAAACTTTAAAACCACAGCAGCGGCTTAAGACGTGCAAAGTTTGCAATCACAGTAGGAAACCTCCCTAATGGGGCCCCGTCTGACAGCACTCAATCTGGTTGCATTGTTAAGTTTGTCAATGCAAGTCACAGAAGGAAAATGATGTTGTTGTTTTTCTAACTGTAACATAGATGTCATTTTTGAAAAAAATGCTAATGTGAACATTTAGCACAATTTTGTTAAGTTGCTGTCAGATTATTTATGACATAATTCGGTTGAATGCTGGTTGGAAGGGCCCCCCCTGCAAATGTCTGCCTAGGGCCTGAACACTCTCTAGAATCACCACTGATTATAATCCCCTATGAGGACGGTTATAGAGCCGTATAAATGCACTTTATAAATGTGCTGATGAAGCATTTTGAGTGGTGGCTTCATAGAAAGTGCTTACGAGTATTTGATTTGGCTCACATTTGGGTTCATGTTCCGCATGCTAATGTAGCATCAGTGTGGTTCAGTCCATAATACCTCATGGTGGAAAATTACTTACGCTCCTCACACAGTCGACCCATCCAGCCTTCAGGACAAGCACAGGTGTTGGGCCGCTGACACACACCTCCGTTCTGACAATGTAACCAACACACCGCTGAGGGAGTAGACACACACACACACACACACACACACACACACACACACACACACACACACACACACACACACACACACACACACACAGAAACAGGCATATCAAGTTAACAATACTGCACAGAGCTCAAACAGGCTTTTTTACAGGTTGATGCTATCTTGCAGCCTCAGGAACAAGGAACCCTTCTTGGACATGCAAACATGCGCTCAAACAAAGGAAGCATTCACAAATCGCAGATTAAATTCCTCAGTGCACATTTATCAAATACATCAACAAAAAATCCCCTCAAGTGTGCGTGAGTATGTGAAGACAGGGGGCTGCACAAACTCAGAAAAGCTGTTGAGGAAGGAAAAGGTGAGCCTGGATCCAGTCTGTTGTTTCGGACTTAAAATATTCCTTAAGTAAATAAAATTGTCCTTTATTTACAGTCTACGGTCGCATCCGGCTCATCTGTCGTTTCTTTTTTCTTTTTTAACTTCCAGAAATAGAAGACGCTCATAGATGTGGAGGACGTAAGATAACATGTTGAAGGTGGGGTAGAGGAAGTTACTGAGGTAAAACAAATGCATTGGGACTCTTTAAAGTGTTAGATTTCATTGGTCTGTCGCGGTAACAGCTTTCCTGTTCGTCTACGATGAACTCAACTTTGAGTTTTAAAATTACAATTGTGAGAAGGAGGGTCAACTTTCTGTTTTATTCACAAACATACAGAACTGCAGTGTTGTTCTGTGGTGTTGGAATTAATGGAAACACTATTTCCTGACGGTTAAAATTCATGTGAAGGCAGAATCAAAGTGGAACAGCAACCGAGAAATGTTGGGTACACACACCCAGACAGAAATGTTTATCTGATGGTTTATTGGGTTTTTCACCTTATTTAAAGACATTTATTATTCCCCTAACAGGGCTGGATCCAGGCTTCAGAAATGACTCATCTGGTTAAGTGTGAACCTGTGCAGAAGTGAAAAGGAAAGAGTACCAGCACAGACCACAGCTGGTGTTGAAGTTGTGGTTTTTTAAAGGTTGAATCCTTCTTAAACCACATCCTTCTCTGTACTTTCCACCATGCTAGTGGTGTGCACCAGGAAGAAGTGAGAAGAGAGGACTGAGGAATTAGACATAGAGATGTTCATAACCCTCCAGAGAAGCAGCAGGAGCAGTCCAGAGGAGCGTTAAGAAGCAGCCAGGCGTCATTCAGATCAAGCAGGAAGTGTCCTTTTCTGTCAAACACTGAGGTGTGTTCTCTCTACCTCTGCATGAGGGAGGCGGCGTCCAGGTGCCGTTCTCCAGACACCTGCTCCTCCCGACACCCTCCATGACGTAGCCGCCAAAACACGAGTACGCCGCCATGTCCCCGAACTGGAACACGGCCCCCCGCACCACCCCATTGGCCACGTGGAGGGGGGGACCACAGGACACCCCTGCACAACAGCCCAGATGGAACGCTAAGAGTTACTAACTAAACATTTATTAAACACATGTCTGCCCTTAAATACTAACGATGCCTTGGACTTTTTTTTTCCCCTTTGAAATTTTTGTGTTGACAGTCTAATCAAGTGACTATAACAGTGGTTTTTTTAAGTGGGCGTGGCCAAGGGGCACTAGGGGGGTTTCCTAGGCTTGGAGGGAAGAGATTAAAAAATGAAACAAAATTAAAAATCAACTAATAATATCATTAGTGACAATGACATTTTAATGTTTGTAAATCTAGATGTCATCAATCCATGCATATTGATATCTATGCGTTCTGCTTCTGAGCCAATCAGGATCAAGCAGCCACTTGATGATGATGATGATTTATCTTACGTTGGTTTAAAACAAAAGTTACAGAAACTGTTCTGATGAGCTTATACATGATATTAAAAGACATTTCTGTAATTTATTCCATCTCTTGTATATCTACAGCACATACTGATGTTTAAAGTGTGCCCAGCAGATTAAGATCTATCAATGAAACCCGAGCTGTGTTTTCTGTATCTGTGATTTTCATGCTGTCGGTGAACCCCCTTCAGGATCAAAACAGGACTAAAAGGATCACAGTAAACATGCATATAGATTAACAAAAAGCATGCAAACACAAGCAGACGGCATTAGCAACATAAGCACCGTTGGGGTTGAATATTCAGGACCACTGCACATAAGAAAGATCAGAGGATCATGAGACAAAGGTTGCCATAGAAGCCACAGAGGTGCCCATAATTAGGCCAGGCGCAGGACACCAACACAGTGATTGAAGCAGACTCATTTGTTTAGAGAGCAGCACACAGACAGCATAGAGAGAAGGTACTTTGGCAAATTGAAGGCATAAACATGTCGAATGTAGACAAGACACAGGGTGCATGCAGAGCTGTGAATTATTAAATACACAATTTTTACTTGATTATCTTGAGATGAAGGACACCATTTTCTTAAAAGAGTGAAGAGTATAGTCCTCTCCTTATAATTACATTTGAATCCTTTCCCCAAACTACAAGCTACAACACATAATCAGGACTTCACACCGATCTAGAAAAAGCTAAAATCATGTATAAAAGAGCAAAAACTGTTCACCATTCTTTAGTGTTTGTGTCTAAAAGGAAATCTTTAAAGGCTACATAAATGAATCTCACACTGAAACAAGTTAAAGGAATATTCAATGTGATGTTACATAATATGATCATTTAACCCCTTAAAGAACTAGAAACTGTGAAATAGACAACAATGAATACAAACACTTAAAAAAGACAGGAATAATGAAACTGAATACAGTCAGTCTACCAGTCGCTCCATGTACTGCATCTCCTCTCTGGTAGATAAGTAAAGTGATACTGATGGAGCAGAAACTATTCTGTCTATTTTAACTGTTAGACTGATGGGGTTTCGTATCAGAAGGATGATGTTGTAAGGACTTCATGTGTTTGGTTTTTAATTTATTTGAAATAAACATGATTTCATGAGTGAACTTGTAACTTTGATTGGAAGAAACATTTTGAATTTTCTCATGTGCAACAGAAGACAAAACACGTTGTAGACTGTTCACACATGATGTAATGATCCACTCTGTGTTTAAGAGTCGGGAAGCTTTTCAAAAGTGCTTACACAATATTCTTTACCTACTTTCACACACAGAGCTGATGGGGCTCCAGGTCTGGTCTGGCCTGCAGGTGATGGCGCCGCTTCCTTTGACCTGCTGACCTTTGGGGCAGGTGACACGGACTGACTGCCCAACATGGAAGTCCTGTCGGGACACATTCTCCCTCCAGCCCGGAGGAGCCGGGCAAGACTTGGCTGTGAGGGACAGAAATGACAGATTGATATTTAACTTATTAGTGTCTTTATCCAGTAAAAGGTTATAATCCACAAAACAACAACTAACAGCTGCCACACTACATTGTATAACCCTCTTGTATTCCCGAGATACATTTAGAAATTAAAAGTTTTTGATTATATTTTTAATTAACATTTAAGTGATTTAGTTCTTCATATTATTATTTTTCTTAGTGTGTAGACATACTAACAGACAGTTTTATTGTGGGGCTCATGTAAAATAACTTCACTTAAGAGTTGAGGGAGTTTCTATGAGCCTAAGTTTCATTTTTACACATCCTGAGATCCAAGACTGAAAATATGTGTTTTTCCAGTGAAAAGCTCTGACTCAAGCTCCAAACGACAGAAAAAAAATGAACTACATTTCTCAATAAGTACGTCTTCTTCCTATTTCATCTTATCAACCTAATGACCCTTCTGTGACAGGCTGTTTGCTGTTGTGAAACACGGTGATAAAACTTGATGATTTTGCCAAGAGTTACAAAATGTTGTGTTCAGTTGCACTGCGGTCTATGTGTAACCATTGCAACAGGGTCATGACAGGAAGCCGGACACACTGAGTAACACAGAGGCACAGTTGTTAAATTTCCCCTGAATTCTGTCTGTGTTTTTCTGTGGAACTCTCAGTCAGTCGTTCTGTGTGCAGAGTTGCTCACGTTGGCAGGTGGGGAACGTGGAGCTCCAGGTGTTTCCCCCCATGCACACCACCAGAGGATCTCCCACCAGGCTGTAGCCTTTGTCGCACTGGAACTCCACAGCGCGCCCTGTGTTCAGACTGTGCTCTTGCACTTTACCGTGCGGTATCTGATTTGGGCTGTTGCAGCCTTTAGCCACTGATGTGGGAGAAAATAAATGAGATTAAAATCACAACACAGGAATTAAAGAATAACAATGATTCATTGCTCACTGGTCATCATCCATACCTTCACATGACGGCGCTGGGAGGCTCCACGTGCCATTGGACAGACAGGTGAGAGTCTTTGGGCCCACCAGCTGCAGGCCCACATTACACACATAACTGGCATTGTGAAGGTAGGTCTCTCCTGTTGTCTGAACCAGTGCATGAGTTACTATGGGAGGAGGCCCACAGGACTGTGCTGAGCAGACAAAAGAGAAGTATAAACAAAGTGTCATGGGTGTGGAATGGTAAATGTATGACTAATATACGTTGCATAACATTGTAATGACCTGTTGGTTACACCTTTTATACGTTCTTACATTATTGATCACATCCAATACTGTGACTCAACACAACACTGTTTTTTTTTTTATTAGGCAAGCAAAACAGTGTGTCTTTCTGGAATGTCAGGTGCAAACTAAATGCCAAAACATGTGTTTCCTCTGTATTTACCCGGCCGTAAACATAACTATCATTCCTAAAATTCTCATGTTTGTTGACAAAGCCAAGATGTGTGAGGTGTCAGTCTTTGTCGGTTTCAGTATTCTCACCAGCTTTGCTGCCACTACAGTCAGACCTGTTAGGCCTGTTACCTACCAACACACAGAGGCTGGGTGCCACTCCATGATCTGTCTCCCTGGCAGGTCTGGATAGAGTCTCCCTGTGACAGAAACACAACGTATAAAGCTACAAGAAGAGCGATATTCTTTTAACAGGTAAAGTTCAGCCTGTATTGATCAGTCCAAATAACAACATGATACAATGAAGATCCATGATAGAGATTTATTTCTCTCTTCAGGCTGAGACACAATGAACCTTTTTACAACACAGTGCATTTAAGTCAGCAGTTTGTACTCTGTGTGTGTGTGTGTGTGTGTGTGTGCGGGCAGCGGAACAAAAGGCTCTCATTGAATTCAAATTGTGTGGGCTAGGATATCAGTGTATCAGGAATAGAGTGACTCAGCTCTTTCTGTTTGCTCTGTAATGGCACACTGCTATCGATTGCTGAGGAGAAACCATGTGACTTTCTGTAATCTGATTGTTAGTCATTAGCTCAGTGTGGAGAGCCTGTTGTTTAAAAGCACCGTGCAGGACAGAAGAGGAAACAAGACAGTACATATTTCAGATAAAAACACATGGTTGAGTTTGAAATACACAGCCACATTTTTGCACTAGGTTTTCTAAAATAGCCTCTTTTTTTCTCTTTTTTTCCACTTGTGTGTGATATTATTTTCAGGTGACGCAACTCATTGATTCAAGTTTTCTAATCTCATCTGCTAAAGAGCTTGACTCAATAGTTGGCCCTGATGAAGAGGAGTACCTTCATGTCAAAGCCCGGCAGACACGAGTACACGACAAAGTCTCCGTAGTTGTAGCTTTCTCCCTCAGCGACACCCTGAAGAAGAGGAGGGGGTTTCTCACAAACCACCAGCTCGCAGGAGGCTGAGGCGATGCTTGGTGACCACAATCCACCAAGCTGAAAACACACACACACACACACACACACACACACACACAAAAACAATCAGGACAGGAAAATACTACATTATTTGACATCTTCCTTGGAAAAATAATTGTTTTCTTTGTAGAGTAGAGAGTATAAACAAACGATGGGTAACAATTTGCTTCAAAGAGAAGACTTACATTATCTTAAACAGAAAAAAAACATCATATCTGCTCTTTGTTAAAGGTCATGCAAGGGCTTCAGTATAAAAACAAAAATAAATCTCCTTGCGCTGTTCACCATAAATACACCAGGAAGGATGAAGATGAAAAGACTTGAGTCAATAATCAACCAGCGTGTTTCCCACCTGACACTCAGCTAACGTCGACCCCTGCAGGTAGAGACCGGGAGGACAGGACAGAGTCACGGTGCCCCCGACAGGCGTGAGCTCCTTCCCACTGATCACCAGATGTTGGGTGGAGAAGTGGGTGGGCAGCAGGCAGGGGGCTGGGCGACACCGCACGCTGTGTTTGGACCAGGTGCCGTCGCTCTGGCAGGAGAGGGAGTCCGTCGGCGTGGCTACTAGATACCCCTCGTCACACCTGGAGAAGAAGGGAAAAGGAAGAGTTAGTGAATAAAACAAAGAGACATGAGGGAGAAAACTGGATGTTATATAGCATTACCAAACAGGGAGCAAAAAAAAACAGGCAATATGGACAATGAGGAGCTAATCATTTTGATCCAACAGCAGATTGGGCTTTTTCCAGACAAAACAAAACAAAACAAGGGATGAAGAGTGCAGTTATGCTTTCATTGTTCCTTCATTCTCTTCTTTAATCTTCTTTATTATTTCAGTCTTTTTTTTAATACACCATCTGTATGGTAATAAAATTCAATGTGAATGAATCTAAAATGTTCTAAAGATTCATCTGATCCCACAAAAAACATGCTGGGACAATAAAGTGTAGGCAGTGTGTTTGAAAGAACGTCTAAAGCCCTGTATGAATAACATGGTGAACCCAGATAACAGTGATACGTGTTTACCTGTAGGCGATTTGGTTCGGGAAGGTGAAGGTGTCTCCCACCACCTGAGCGTTCTCTACAGATGGAGGTTTTCCACAGTTCAAAGGCTCACACTTGATCATGGGTTCTCCCCACCTGCCGTCTCTTCCACAGGAGAGATGTGGGTACCCCCTCGGCTGGTAGCCCAGCCTACACCTGTATATGACTGTGTCTGGGAAGGTTGCAATGCCGCCCTGCAGGACAGCATTGGCAACTGCTGGCGGGGCGACACTGCACCTTCCCCGTCCACACATAGGTATGCCGGGGCTCCACACCCCTCCCTTCTCACACACGGCCTCGGAGGGTCCCAGCAACTTGTAGCCGTCTCCGCACTGGAAGTTCACTCGGTCCCCGCAGGAACGGTCGCTCCCAAGAACCGTGCCGAATTTCAGCGCGGGGAGGGCGCAGACGCAGGGGCGACACTGAGGAACCTTGCCGACCCAGGAACCTTGGGCAGAGCATCTTAGGATGGGATCCCCGACGACTTCGTAGCCGTCGAAGCAGACGTACTCCACCACGTCATCGTAGGCGAAGCTGGAGCCGTTGAGGAAGCCGTGACTGATGTCCTCGGGTGGATCACAGCTTATGATATCACAGCGAGGTGCAGGTTTGTCCCAGAGTCCATCTGCCTGACAGACATGTGTGGGATCTCCGTTAAGCGTATATCCCTCATCACATTCATACTTGACCTTGCTCTTAAAGCCTAAATCTGAGCCCAGCACGTGTCCATTGGGTATTGGTGTTGGTTTGCCACACCGTGCAGGTACACAAGTAAGAGTCTTGTGGCTCCAGGTGCCATCACCTTGGCAAACACTGATAGATTTCTCTTTTAAGACAAAACCAGACTGACAGCTCAGTTCCACCTCATTATTATAGTTGTACTCGTCTCCTTTAAAAGAAACCCCAATGGGGACTTTCGGAGGACCACAAGATAGAGGTTCACAAAAAGGTTTCTGTCCATTCCAATTCCCATCTGCCTGGCAGGAGATGGTGTCACTACCCCTTAAAACAAAACCAGGACTACACTCGTACTGCAGCACCTCAGGATACACAAAAGTACCCCCTAAAGCTGGGCCGTTAGGGATAGCACCTGGGTCGCCACAGGAAACGGGGAGACAAACCGGGGCTTCATTAGTCCAAAGTCGACCTGATACACATTGCCTCACAGGCTCCCCCTCCAGCTTGTATCCCTCCTCACAAGAATACCTGACCGAACTGCCAAGGGAGGTATCAGTCACGTTGACCCAGCCGTGATCTGGACTGGGTGGGGTTTCACACTCTGCTGGGACACAAGCTGGGGCCGTGCCATTCCAGCCTCCGTCCTCTTGGCAGACCAGCCTGGTGGGGCTCGTGAGGTCGTAGCCTTTGTGGCAACGGTACTCGATTAATGTTGCATGAAGGAAGCTCAAGTCCATAGGTGAGGCTAACGATCGTGTGTCTTTAGAAGAAGAAGCGGCAGCGTCAGAGTCTCCTTCCTGCGGTGGCACCCTAAAGTACTCCCCAAAATCAATGTGAGGAGGCAGGCCGCAGTCTGAGGGCACGCAGATGGGAACAGAACTAGACCAGCCAAACTCCTCGCAGGTCAGATGGTCCTGGCCTACAAGCTGGAAGCCAGGGAAGCAACTGTAGAAAATGGTGACGCCAAAACTGTGATCCTGGCCCTCTACGAAGCCGCTTTCAATCGGTTGGGGTGGCGTGCAGGATATCTGCACGCATGCAGGCGGCTGCATGTTCCACTCCCCACTGGCCAGGCACGTGAGAGTCTCTGTGCCTTTAAGACGGTAACCGCGTTGGCAGGAGTAGGTTACACTGTGACCAAACTGGAGCTTTGTGTAAACAACTTTACCTTTGTCTATCTGTTTAGGGATCGAGCATTCAATTGGGCGGCAAGATGGTACTCCTCCAATCCAGAGTCCTTTCTCTCCACAGAGGATTGTAGAGTTGCCCACTAAGTTATAGCCAGTCTTACAGCTGTACAGTGCTTTGCTGAGGTACATCAGACCCTGTACATCTACAATACCGTTTGAAATCTCCACAGGCTGAGGGCATTCGACTGTGATACACTCGGGGTAAGGACTGCTCCACTGCCCGTTAGCTAAACAGGAAACAGAACGTTCTTTTCTTAAAGTAAAGCCGTCTATGCACGTGTAGCTCACCATGGAGCCAAAAGGGAATGGAAAGGAGGACGAGGTAGGGCCACCGAACGACACTTCAGGTGGCAGGCCACAAAACACCTGCTTACACACAGGAAAGGTGTCGTTCCACTCCTGGGATGGGGTGCAGCGCAGGATCCGGGCACCTTCGAGGGCGTAGCCATCCTCGCAGGATAGTTCCACGGTTCCAGATTCGGAGTCCAGGCCCTTCAGGACCAGATGGTTCTCCTCCAGGGGGGGCTCTGGACACTGCACCGGCGAGCAGCGAGGACGCCTTGATTTGTCCCACCGCCCGAACTTCAGGCAGGTCCAGGTGGATTCCCCGGCCAGCTCGTAACCCTCATCGCACACGTACTGCACTTTTCTGCCCACCTGGAAATCCGAGCCCTTGTAGTGTCCATGAACAATGTCAGGCGGAGGGTCACAGGTTAAAAGGATGCAGGTGGGAGGGTCATTGTTGGACCACTGCCGGTTAGCTTGGCAAACCCGCTCTGGGCGACCAATCAGTCTGTATCCTGCGTTACAGGCGTATGTCACCTTGCTGTTGAAGGTGAATCGTGCTCTGACCTATGGGGAACAGACAGAAGACACATCATTAAAGATCATTCAGCTTATTAACAACAACTGGGAAACCAACCTAAATGTTGAAAAATGTGCAAAAACTACAGAATAAGGTAAGGGAAACTAGAAGCATTTTCATATTAGACACGATTGTCTGGTTCCCTCTTCCCCCCACCCATTGGTCTGCGTTCATACTAGTGCAGAATCACTGATCACAGCAAGTTGATCAGTGAAGATATTGCTTTCATTTATAATCCAGATGCACAACAGTGGGACATGACTTTGTTCTGTTTTTTGTTTCTCACCTGTATGTATCCATTCTTTAGTGCAGGAGGTGGGGCGCAGGAAACAGGTGCACAGGTAGGTAGAACTCCACCCCACTCGCCATTAGCCTTGCACGTCCTTCTCTTCTCTCCTCTGATCAGGAATCCTTTATCGCAGCTGTATGCAACCACGGCTCCAAAACTGTAGTTTGTCCCGCTCACGTAGCCCCGGTCGATGCTCTCGGGCCTCGAGCACCTCACGGGCACGCAGCCGATATCGTACGGCGAAGGCTGCCACTCTCCTCCCATCAGACACCTGAGCGTGGCGGTGGTGTTCAGCATGAAGCCCTCCTCACATTTAAAGCTGACCTCAGTGTTGCTGACGTATTTCGGTTTGTTGACAGAATCCAAAATCGCATGGGACAGTTCAGGTGGACGTAGGCAGAAGTTAGCGATGCAGCGAGGGGGCTCCATGCCGTCAGGGGCCGCCCACACACCCTGAGCATTGCACACCATCTTGGAGTTGTTGCCAGCGGTGTAACCGTCAGTGCAGTAGTAGTTAGCAGTGTCTCCAAACAGCTGATGGCTCTCATAGGGCTCGGCGTGGTCGATGGCAGGAGGGGGGCCACAGGAACGCGGGACGCACTGGGCGGAGCTGTCGCTCCAGTCGCCGTTTGGCAGACACTCTCTCATCTCTGGACCAATCAGAGTGTAGCTGTGAAGGAGACAGAAGAAGTTAAGTGAAAAGGTAAATAAGTCTCATTCAACACAATCACTTATCTTTTTCTTTTACTTAAGATCCCTTTTAGCATTTTCTGCAGTAAAAACTTTTCTTCCTCGGGTTAATATAAAACATTAGAAAACAAGGCGAACATTCAGGCCGCACACATAAACAATTACAAACATTAACAGAAAAAAATAGATAATAAGAGAACGGTTACAGATGATTTTCATTTTTAACTTTGAACAATGAGGTCATTGAACGTGTTCCATCATATAAATGCCTGGCTGTTTTACTTGAAGAAAATTTGTCTTTTAGTCACCAAAAGCTCCAGAGGGGGGGCCTTAGGCTTATCATGAAACATAATTTAGTTGATACCGATGCCTATGTATGAACTACAAAAGCTAACAAGACTAACAGCATAAGAACTGATCAGTTTTTTTATAGTATTTAATGTCTGAATTGCCTAACACAGGGTTGATGTTAGAAAATGGTAATATATAGAATTCTGCAGATTTGTTTTTCATTTTACGCTTACCATGGCAAAGACTTAAAATGAGTGATTAATTTAACAGTTAAAAGAAAGCAGGATGACAATTTTCTTAAGAAAACACTACACATACAGGACCAAATAAACATAGAAATCAGAAGTGCCGCTTTGTCTGCAGGGATCACCAAAATTAACACAAAAAAACGAGTCTCTCACGGGGGCTTTAAGATAAAGTTCTTCACATGAATCCAAATATACTGTTGTAGTTTACACTGATAAAATCTGCACAATAACTGAGTAGACTTCGACCACATTTACCCTTCTTTGCAGACATAGTGCACCTTGTTTCCCAGTTCATAGCTCTCTCCTACGGTCACAGCATCTCTCAGGGCCGGAGGCTCACTGCACAGGACGTTCACACAGCGGGGGACAGGCGTGCTCCACTCCCCTGTCGCCTCACAGACAACCTCCATGGTGCCCTGTGGTCTTCACACAAACACACAACTTAGCTCATACACTCACTGCAGGCGATTAGAGGGTCACAGAGATTTAGAGAGGACTTGTGATTACGGATAAATCAGAGCCGATGACATCTTAAATACTCGTACAGAGTTTATAATCTCCCTGGACTGTGACATGGTTTATAAACTCATTGATACAACATAATATACACAACTAAGATGGTACTGGCTTGTTGCAGTTACATTAAAGTGTCATTTAATAACACAATTGGGTCCTTTTTATTTCTGAAGTGGTATTTAACAGATGTGTTATATATCATCACAGCACATCTTTGCAGTTTGTTGTACATGTAGCTTAAAACAACAGACACAAACACTGCCAAAATGTTTTAATTCTGGTGAGGTGGTAGGGCGAGCTTATTGTGGATGACAGGCATGTATATATACCTGTATCCTTCAGCACAGTTGTATGTTACAATGGATTGGTATGTGTTTGTGATGAGGGTGTAGCCAGCGTTCATGATGGTCGGAGGATCCCCGCAGTTCACTGGGTGACACATGGGTGGCGTTCCACTCCACCTCAGACTAGAGAGACACTGGAACTCGTAGGGGATCTGAGGCAGGAAGCCCTTCATACAGCTGTCATGGATGAATAAAACACAGAATCAGAAGATTTTTTTTAAATGTGTCGTTTGATATTTCCTGCTGTCATTATTACAACATGGAGTCTTAGGGGATTCAAATGATACCTGAAAGTCACCTTGCTTCCATAGGTGAAGTTGTTTCCGGTCATGACAGAGTTCTCTGGCACAGTTGGCGTTTGGCAGGAGAGCGCTGCAGTACAACACAAAGATGATTAGAGCCACAGAGCAAATCAGGTTTTATTTTAACATAATGAGCCTCTCTCTAAAAGTTTCTTTTAGACCAATCGTCTTCTTTTGTTTTGATATCATTTTTGTTAATCATGCAGATCAGGATAGACATCTGTGTTCCCTGAATTTGTCCCGCCATCACAAATGTATCAAGCTGTCGTAATGCGCAGCTTACTGGAGTAAATTGCCACGTGAGCACATGTTGGCATGTGGGGAGAAAGCTTTCAGGAGCAGGACGGGGAACAACAGGTCTATACATGGTCGCCTAGAAAGTAACAGGCAACTTGTAGTTTTGTGTTCGGATAAATTGATATTGACCAGAGCAGATTTTTAAGGATTAAATTGTCTCTTTAAACCTCATTTCACATCAGCCTTCTTTCCTCATATTGAAGTTTGCTTTACTGAAACTAAGATTGAGTCACTGCATCCTGCAAGAGTGACGAAGAAGGCTGCAACTATAAGTCCTGTTTTTACAACATGCAAATGAAGAACCTCTGCACACATTTCCATTCCTCAGACGCCTCTAAGTGATATTGATTAAATGTACTGGCTCAGGCACAGACTTTGTCCAGCATCAATGTCCCATTACATTTTCCACAGACAGGACAAAAGACGCACACAGTCAAATGGATAGATAAATACACAAATGGATAGACGCCAAAGATATGCTACTGAGAGGCATAATTGAATAAAGAGGAACTTAAAGTGATTAAAAAAAACGCACTCCCATGACACAGTTGGACCTAAAAGAGAAATATTAAAGAAAAACAAGGCCAAAACTGAAGGAGCAGGATGCAAATCATGACCCTTTTGAAATTCCAACAGTTTCGGTAATTCACTAAAGGGCATGAATATGTTTGTCTTTTAAAGCTTTTTCTGAGGAGCTGTTGGATGACATTCATACTGATGTCTCAATATGACCTGTGAAAGCAAACAAGACCATCAGAAAGAAGATCGATGACTGCTATGTGATTATTTTATATGACACTAAAGTCCTGCAGGCGAGGTAATGAACAGAAACCTTACTGAAACAGCCTTTTTTAAATTTAACACACCATACATTCATCATGAGTTGCTTACCGAATTTCCCCCTGGGGTTAATAAAGTATTTCTGATTCTGATTCTGATTCTGATATTAGACATTTCAAACTAAAGAAGGATGAGACCATAAAAGAGATAAATCATCTCGATTTGTCCACAGAGGGAGCAGCAGGTTTGAACTTAATTTGCCGTAAAGCCCAAATATTTCATTTTCTTTGACCTGAGAGATCCATTTTCACAACAATCATCTGTAGATGTGGTAACAACAGTTAACCCTTAACTCAGGAAATGTGTACATTCAATTCAGACTAATATATATATATACAGAGGTGTGTTTTTACCACAAATGGTCATGTGACAGGCAGTGACTCTACCACCCATCACATCATTCTGTCAATATTTTGATAAATCTTGTTTTAACAACAGTGGCAGAAATGTAAAGCTCACACAGCGATGCTTCCGGATTTGCGTGAACTCCTAAAAAAGCTGCAGCCTTGTCGCGCTTCATTAGCGTGCTGCTCTCCAATGCGTAACATTCATCATTCAACTTCTGGTGTCGTTTCCTGCATCATAACAACGACAACAAGAAAACCCCCTCAATGAAATTCATTGTATTGATTTTGGCAGACAACATCACAGAGGTGAGCCACAGCTGATGTAGGCTGAACTGACAGACTGGCTGAGTAAGTCAGTTCCTCTCTCGTTATTGGGGGGGGGGGAATGTGGCTTAGGACGAACAGAGGTGCTGCAGCGGTCAGGCCTTTCAGCCTGCTGCACAAAAAGACAGCTGCATGAATAATCAGCACATCGCAGCGACACTGAATAACATGTGTTTACTTGCTTTTGTATTTTGCGGCTGAACTATTTGCTTTTCTCTATATGCATACACATCATCCCAGAGTGTGTGTGTGTGTGTGTGTGTTTGTCCTGAAGTGTATCAGTACTTCTGCTTAATGATAATAATGACCATTACTTATTACTTCCTTCTGTTGTGTCTGAGTGCGATCTGAATAGCAGCAGGCTTTCACAAGGGAACTCCTTTAAGGTGACACAGAGTCACTTGGTAAAAAATCAGCGTCCTTTAAAAGCTTTCTGTGATTATGAATAAAGGCTGCAACTCTTTTCATAAAGAGACTTTCAGTATGACTATGAAGTGTGTCTGAAAGTGTCAGAAATAAGAAATCCATAAAAGGTTTTATATAAAAAGAGGAAATATCAAAATGTTGAATATGTGCTCCTTCCATGTATTTGTGGTTACTCTAAACACCTCTCAGTTCTTGATACACAGGCACAACAAAACTGGAAGAAAGGAAGTGACACCTTTTTTCTTTACTGTCATCAAATCTCAATTCCTCCCACTGGATCATGCCTTACGTAACACTGGGGATCAATGATTTGTTCCTAATAGTTTTAGGATGACTATGGCCAAAAAACCCCCCCAAAAAAACCAAAGATAATTATTTCTTAGTGGGATCAACTGTTGTTTTAAATAAAGGCATTTTTGACAATGGGAAACAATATCCTGTACGGTCACCCCTATCTTTCTCACATTCTGTGAACACTTACTTATCCTTCCATTTTCTGCTAAAAGCAAAATGTTCCCCCCTGGTGGTTTGAGCTCATAGAAATACAATTAAAAAGGCCGACAGGATCACAATAGGTTCATATTTGTTGAGAGAAACTTTACATGTAACCCCCCCCCCTTACCTCTGCAGTAAGGGACCTGATCATCCCAGCTTCCTGTCTCAGTGCAGCGGAGGCGAGTGGATCCGATGAGCTCGTAGCCGTGGTCGCAGCCAAAGACGACCTCGCTGCTCATCAGAAAGTTGCTGCCCTCTCTATGGCCGAACTCTGGAGACCCCGGGTTCTCACACTTCACCGGCTCTGAGAGGAAAACAAAAACACAATCACACACAAACGGGTTGAAATTGGAAAGAAAAAAAGCTGTTACTCAAAGTGTCTCTAAAGCAGGTGTCTGCGTCTCGTTACCTGTGCAGTTTTTGCCGTCTCCACTGTACGGGTGGACACAGGTGCAGGTGTAGGAGCCGTCTGTGTTCTGACAATTAGCGTGTTGGTCACAGTCGGAGCCCAGAGCACACTCGTCCACATCTGAACACACACAAACACACACAGAAAACATGCAAAAACACTTATAATAAAACACAGTGTCAAAAAGATGGATTTTTATTTGCCATAAATGATTGATTTAAAAAAATCTTGTACCCAGACAGGCCGGGGGATTTCCTCCCCACTTGCCATTGTTGCTGCAGTGCACCTTAGTGTCTCCCAGCAGGTAAAAACCAGCGTCACACTGGTACACCACAGAGCCGCCAGCGTGGAAGTCTGTCCCTTGAAACAAACCGTTCTCCAGAGGATGAGGAGGCCCGCACGACACTCCTGGAACACACAGAGAGAAACATAATGAAGGGTCTTTTATAAACAACAGGAATATGTGCAGAACATATTAAAAATTTTAACAGCATCATCATACTTATCATTTCAAAGCCTATGCCTAAGCACATCATTTGTTTATTTGAGGATTTGGGACTGAATCCCAGATCCAGAGACATATTAAATTAGCAAAGACATCAAAGAAAAAAGAAAATGCCGCTCAGCAGCAAATCAAATCAGGTAGTGGTGTGGGTGTCTGCCTTACGTTCACAGCTGGGAAGAGGATGGCTCCACTCTCCTTTGTTTTGGCACTGCAGCACTGGCTCCCCCCAGCAGGTAGAAGCCGGGATCACAGGACAGCTGGACCTGCGCCCCGGGGCTCACCTCCACGGTGGAGGCGTGCAGATGTGGCACTGCGTTCTCTAGCTTTGGGCAATCTGAAGACACCAGACAATGTTTTAAAAGAAAGCTATTGTTGCTGTGCGTTGCAAATAGAAGTACTCAGAATACTAACAAGTTAAATATTACAAAGTTAAATCAAAACCATTTGAAAACAGAGTAGATTTGTTTTTCTCAATTGAATCGCTTCTGTGATTTCATTCAAATGTTCCTACCAGCACAGAAGATGCTGTTCTGGTTGACTTTAACTCGGCCCACCACCCCGGCGAGGAAGTCGGGCCAGGCGAGGACGTTCCCCCTGTGAGTCACATGGGAGGCAGGGCAGCTGCTGGCCAGGACTTTGATCTACAGACAGCACAGAGGAACAGAGGAGGTTACAAAAAAAAAAAAAAAGGGTCCATGAGGCACTTAAGAGAAACACCAGTGACTGCGTTTACCTGTTGAGGTGTGAGAACTCGATCCCAGATGTTGAGCTGGCTGATGGAGCCGACGAATGATTCGACAGGGTTGAAGCCCTCGCCCCTCTGATCCTGGTCCTGACCTAACACCAGCGCTCCACCTCCTACAGGACACGGAGTAAAGTCAGAGGTTAACCACACCTCACCGTCTACACAAACAGAGGAATCTTTGTGTTACAGAAGGAAGTGGAGCAGGTAGAGGATAGCACTACACCTGGGATGGTGGTGCCCACTGACAGTCCTTTGCCTCCATCTGAGGGCTTCCCGTTTATGTAGATCCTCCAGTCCCCGTCCCAGCTCCTCCACGAGACCCCGATGTGATACCACAGTCCTGTGTTGACTGCGGGACAGTCTGTGATGCGCTCCTTGCCGTTTACGTACAGCACCCAGCTGTAGGGAGAGAAAGACAGTCAGAGGAGATTTAATCCAAGACACAGGGAGACAGAAAAGAAAGCTTGAATTCTGATTTATAATAAAGTTAAAAACTGTTTGTTTTTTTAATCACTGACCCGTTGTAGTCGATGAGGAGGAAAGCGTTGTCGCTGCCCTCCACAGCGTAGGACACAGGTGTGCCGTAATTTGTGGTGTCCGATGACCTCATCCAAAAGGTGCAGGTGATCTCTGTCAGCGCAGGCATCACTGCGTCCATCATGACGTAACCATGGATACCTGACACCTCAAAGTCCAGGTTGAAGGCAGAAGACATTTCTGATAGGAGGAATAGGAGGAAAAAAAAAAAAACATTCACATTAATAAGACAAAGACAATAAACTGTAAGATAACTCAGAATATAAACAAGAAATCATGGATTCAAACTTTCACTTCTCAAACTCAGACTCAGATTAATATACAGCTTTTTAGAATCATAACATTGCAACTTCTGACAAAGTCATGCAATTGCATCATTTTGAAGGGCCACATGCAGATGTTCTCATACCTGCATTATATAAAGACTAAAACCCCTTTGACAATTCAAATGAAACCATCACTACAAATTGAATGCAGTTCTCAGCGGTTCTCTAGTGGTACTTCATAAAAGTCTCAGTCCAGGTCAACAAGAAACTTGTTCACTTCTGTCAGAGTTGCCATGGAGATGTGTCGTCTGTCCTATAGTACCTGTCTCACACCTGGTTCCGTTGAACCCAGGGAGGCAGCGACAGGTGTAAGAACCCAGACCGTCCAGACAACTGGCCCCGTTGACGCAGGGGTTTGGATCGCACTCGTCCACGTCCACCTCACACAGACGGCCCCGGAAACCCTCCACACACTGACACCTGGGAGAGGGGAGGAAGACACAGAGAAACACCACCTTCAGGTACACATAAAACCATAACAAAGTTGGCATCATGCTTTAAATGGCACTCTTATTTCTAAACTGTACTCAATAGATTGGAATCCTAAATCTGTAGGAAGTCCTCCAACAACTGTAAAGAGGTTTAGATGCGTCTTCCAATCAGAGCCTTTCTTACCTGTAATTATTGATCTCATCCAGACACGAGCCTCCGTTCAGACAGGGGGCGCTGTAACATTCATCGATGTTGACCTCACAGCGATCCCCTGAGAAGCCGACCACACAGTTACATGTGTAACCGCCGGTCAGGTCCTCACACACGCCTCCGTTCAGACACGGGTTGGAAAGGCACTCGTTGATTTCCAGCTCACAGCGAGATCCTACGGAAGAGATGCAGACAAAAAGGAAAACAGGCAGAGTATCTGAAGTTAATACTTTTTTTACTCAGTCTGGTGTCCAGGGAGCAAAACGTGACCTTGTTCCGTTAGCTTACCTGTGAATCCGCCGGCGCAGCTGCAGGTGAACTTGTTGACCTCGTCCACACAAACGCCTTCATTCAGACAGGGGGAGGAGAGACACTCGTTCACCTCCGCCTCGCACAGAGAGCCTGGCACAGACGAGGGTCAAAATTACACAGTCACACAGAAATAAAGGTTAAACACATTACTTTTGGGAGGCCAACACTATTTCAGGTCCTGCTGGCTAAGTTTACAAATGCAGAAGTCAAATTAATCAAACTGTTGCTCTAAAGCTGTTTGTACAATTTTGTTTCCCCTTCATGAAATCATCTGAGGGCAAGTAAAGAAGTCTGCTTTAAGATTATTCAAGTGACCCATAATCCTCCCTTTACCAGTAGACCTTTCTTTTTTTATTCTTGTTTCATCAGCTAAGACTGTTTTTCCTCACTGCTCCCTCACCTAAAAATCCCGGCTTGCACTGACACTGGAAGTCCCCCATGCCGTCCTTGCACAGGCCTCCGTTTTGGCACGGAGTTGAGTCACACTCGTCGATGTCGACCTCACACTTTGCACCTGAGAGGCAAATATCAGAGCGGGTGTTAAACATTTGTTTCCAACACACAAGTTTCCAGTTGACATTTCAATAAGAAAAAAAATACAACACACACAACTAATTATCCTCATATTTTTAGAGCGACACTTCCTAATGAAAGCTTGATAGCAACGTCTATGAATTATGTTGCTGTCTTACCTGTGAATCCGGGCATACAGGAGCACACATACCCCGCCCCAACCTCCTCACATGTCCCCTTGTTCTGACAGGGATTCAGAAAGCACTCGTGGAACACCTGCGGGAACAGCCAATCAGACCACTATAACACATGAGACTAAATCACACTCTCATATCACGTCTTGAACTTTGTTTTCCAGTGATTCTTTTTTTTTAAAAAAAGATTCATTTTTGGGCTTTTTTGCCTTTTTATTGTTAAGATAGGAGAGTGGATTGAGTCCGAAAGCAGGGTGAGAGAGAGTAGGGAATGACATGGGGGAAAGGTTGCAAAGGTCAGATTAAACACCAGCCTTCTGTAAGAGGAAATGTAACATTTCACAGGCTAAAGACTGACCTGGCTGCTTGCTTGGTAGTCCTCATGGACCTCCACCTCTGGAGCTGCAGTCACACTCTCCTCTTTGGGAAGAAAGCTGGAGCCAAAACCTGACAATGACACACAGAGAAAATGTGGAAACAAAGACAAGTCGGAAAAAAACACGGCAAAGATCTTTCCCCTCTTCACCAGACTGTTGAACCATTCTGATCGTCTGAACGAAATGATTATTTTTCCCACACTTTCAGGCATGCACTGTAACTCATTTCCATTCTGCAGCAGAGTAATAAAAGTCAACTGATTTCCATTTCCCCGCTGATCCAGTGCTGTAATTCCTTTTCCACTTGGATCAACCTGCCCGAGTACAGATCTGACACCACACCACAAGTGCAGAGAGATTTGAAACTGCAGGAGAGCTGTCTCACAAACAGCGGCTGACACCGAGCAGCTCTGACTTCACTCGGCATGTCTTCCAGATATTCAACACAAGGTCATTTTTAATACATGCCAAGACAACTCAACTCAGCGCAGTGGTGTTAAAATGAAACGGTGCTGTGTGAAAATCTGCTTTCATCGCCTTTTCATCAGAGTTCATTTGCACTGGAGCATGTGGTGGAACAAACTATGACGGTGTAGTTTCATTAAACAATGTTTTTCTCAGTCACTAACAACAAAAGAGTCCAGAAAACACCAGGCAGACACTTCAAGACATACTTATAGCTGATTCTTAAAACTGAACTTTACAAGGAAGACTTTTTTGAGATCTGATTCTGTCCTTTGTTAATTCATTGTCATTTTTTGTATGACCCTTGAGTGTGCATTGGGGAACTTTGATCGGCACTAAATGATAAAGGTTTGTACCAACTTAAGGGATGGGATGATCTGTTTCTCATACATTTTGGTATTAAGAAATAACAGTTACACTTTTATAGGAGAAACTACAAGGGATTTATTCTGAAGACAAACAAAAAGAGATAGATTTCACTAGTTTGTATGTATTTGTTGGGACCATTTGTAAAGGTTTTGTTTGGGTTCTTCACTGGTCACAAACACCTACTGGAGCAGTGTTGTATCGTAGTCGCCCCTGTAACAGTGGTGGTTCCATAGAAGGGGCAGGAGAGGCAGTAGGAGCGGCCATGTTCAGGCTGGTAGTAATCTCTGGGACAGGGGTAACAGGGAACCAGACCGGTACGAGAGAAATGACCTGAAGAACAAGGCACTGCAGGAGACATGAAGAAGAAGAAAAATACTTTAATGGCAGAACAATCGAAAAATATTGACGCTTTAACTGGTTTCAAAGTTTCAAAGTTGCCAAGACTTTCTCCCTTTCAAAATTCATGATTTAACTTTAAACAGCAACAATATGTAAAGATTTACAAGAAGGAATTTCTGATATAACTGAACTTGAATACCAGATGTTTTTTATCTATTTATATTTTTGTCCGTTACCAAGCACCATTTGGCATAACTTTAATGAAAGATCAATGCTTGAACCAAGCTGTTAGACTGAATCACCTCCACACTCTTCTTCGTCCACGGCTCCTCTGGTGACAGTCGACGTTTCGTCAGGACAGACGACGCACTCTCTGGCGCCAAAACCAGGCTGGAAGTGACCCAGAGGACACGACTCGCAGATCTCCAACCCATTCAGAGAGTGACTGCCGGGTTTACACTGTCCTAAAAAAACACCACGAGTAATTATCAGATACAGAAAGAACACGACCACTGCATTAAGAAAAAGCTGAGATTGTGTTTGTGAGATTGTGTTACCTTTGCACTCAGAGACGCTGCGGGAGTGCAGGTACGCTGTGGAGGTCCCCTCCGGGCAGGACTTGCACTCCAGCTGACCCTCCTGATCCTGGAAGGAGCCCAACCAGCAGCTCGCACACTCGTTATGTTCCAGAGAGAAGTAAGTCCCCACCGGACATTGGACTGCAACAACACAAGCAAATCATAAAAATCTTAAAATCATTCTCTAAAAGGTGTTTGAAGTTATTGAACCTCCACAAACTCACCGCACATCCGGCCTTTGAGCACTGACCCCGGCCGGCAGGACAGAAACGCTTTCCTGCTCTCCAGAGATTTGGGATCAGACACGATCATCTCAGAGGAAACGTGGAAACTGGACAGCGGCTGTTTGGCGAGCGTTCGCTTCAAACGATTGGTCAGTTGCTCGAGGGTCCGCAGGAGTCTCTTCTGATTGGCCACTTCTATCGAGTCGTTCCTCGATATAGGCAGAGGGATGCTTGCTGGGGGGAATGGACAGAGTTTAAGGAACAACTGATGGGAACAAATAAAAACCACCCGAACACTTTGAGGGTAAATAAACACCTTCTTTGTACCTGTGATGTTGAAGAAGATCTGGATCTTCTGGTCTCTGGTGGGTCCGGTGATTTTGCGGTGCCTCTTTGCGCGTTGGTGCGGTTGCATGCGGCTGTCCTGCTGCGGCCTGGCGAGCTGCCGGCTGCCTGTAGCGAAGCCTGACTCAAAGTACGCATAGTCCTGAGCACCCTGAGATCCCCAGCTGTTGCTCCATCCCCCTGGTGCTGGTAAACATAAAACAGCTCAAATTTAAATACAAGTTGTGCATTGTTGAATGTTTAGTGAGTGACTGTTTCAATCCTACCAATAGAAAATCCGTTCTCGTAGTCGTAGTTGTACTCCAGACAGTGGCCCTGTGACATCACCTCAAGCTTGCAGATGACATCATCGCTGCTACAAATGTTGGGGAGCTGTTGGAGAAGAAGAAAGTGTGGTGTGTGAAAATGGTCTAACTTGACCCTTGTGGCAGATTTGTCAGGTTTATTTCTAAATACTGACTCTAAGTTTCTCTTCTCTCTGACATGCATGGTCCTGGATCTTTAATATCTCAGGAAAAAAGACAAAACACTTTAATAAATGTCCTCTAAAATGATCAGGTCCAATCAGACCTTGGAAACAATTTCTTGGGTCCGTCCATTAGTGTTTGTGTCCATTATTCTGGATCAGCAAAGACCTCTAAAGCAGCGTTAATTCAAACATATTTAGGTCCTCACCATGCCTTCCAGTTTGGTGTTGAACTCTCCTGTGAATGACTTGATCAGATCCACATCGTCACAGCGCGAGGCTTTGAACAGCATCTCAAAGGGCTTTAATCCGTTGTTTGCTATTCGCTTCACTGAGAAAGACAGCAAAGTAAGTATTCATCAGATTACAGTTCATTCATTTGCCAAAACTCATTGAATTAAAAAAAAAAAGCCCTAACATTTCCACATGCATCCTACAGTTATGTTCATGTATGTATACATAGTGTTGTTGCTTACCTGAGCAGTCGGGTCTGTCCGCAGAGGACGGCGGCTCCCACACACCGTTGTAGGCGCAGAAGTAGCTGTGCGCGCCGTCCTGAGTGAAGCTGTAGCCGTCTTTACACTGAAGAGTACAGTTAACGCCTTCTTCTTGTTCTGAGCAGATGAACTCTCCGTTCACAGGGATGTACGGCTGGTCACAGGTCGTTCCTGGACCCACACAAACACACAATGAACATCATAAACTCAGCAAAGGAAAAATCCACAAACGACATTTGACCTTTTTATTCTCACTATTTCATCATCCTTACAGGCCCACAGTTTTAGTTCTTAAAACAGACTAAATCTGTTGATTAAATTTGGTTAAAAAGGTCTAATATTTGCACACGTTACACAAACAAGTGTAAAATAGTACACTCTGATGTGTCAGCTCTGTACCTTGCACAGTGACGGTGAGGTTGCAGGTGCGGCTGTTTCCTGCAGCATCAGTCGCTGTGTACTGGACCAGAGTCTCCCCGACTGGGAACTGAGAGCCGGCAGTGTGACTGCTGGTCACTGTGAGGCGACCACCTGATAGAGACATACACATTACAGAGTTTTTACAGATAATCAGCACTAAGAGTAAAAGACTCGCTCAAAGTTTTTATTTTAGATTCATTTCTGATACACAGTTTGTCATTTTAGACTCTCCACTGAATTACGCCTTAGCTTGACACTTAATGATTCCCTTGTTGGTAAAAAAACCCCAAAAAAAACGAAGGATGATTTAAATTGCAAATATGGTGAATGAAAGAAAAGTCTCCTATTATCTGGATCTCTAGCAAAGGTTAGTTGGACAACTATCTAAAGTCAAACTGTTCAAAACTGCCTAGAATCATTTGAAATGTTCAAATAATCACCTAAAAGAAAACCTGCATGATTTACAGCCGACAGAAAGATCCTAGTTTTCTCTCATATTTAATATTTTCAAAGTTCAGACACGTCTATTGGGTTCTTATATTTTACTTTCAGTCATCCAGCAGAGGGCAGTGTTGGCCTTGAATCCCTTTCCAGGACTAAGTGAGTCACTCTTAAGTAAACCATTAAAGTTATGTTAAACAATGATACGTTGACATGGGAGTGATGTGTCTGGGCATCACACAGCTGCAGAAAAATCCATCTCCTGGGAATGGAAAGGGAACGTTTCTTTAGTCTGGTTGGCTTGCATGAGAAGAGGGTGATGGATAGAAGCCTGGGCGAGACGGCGGTGATGAGAGAAGTGTGTGAGTGTGTGTCTGCACGTGTGAAACATCTGCGCTGCCAGTGTGAGAGGCAGACAAGATTAAAGAGCGAAAAAATGGAGTGACCTTTCGTTTAACTCCAGTCCAACTCCTCCTTTCCATCAGGTCTGACACACGTCTGGCCTGCAGGAGCCTGGAGTCTACACTTATATATAGCCTGTGTGTGTGTGTGTGTGTGTGTGTGTGTGTGTGTGTGTTTGAAAGTGTGTTTATGTGTGTGTGTCTAATGAGTTTCGGCTATATTTAGCGCTGGCATCAGGGTGTGGGCCTGGAAAAACAAAACACTGACGTCGAAGCAGCGCTGGGCTGACGTCGTGTGGGCCTGAAGCAGCCGCAGCAGCCTGTTATTACAGAGTGTGTGTGTGTGTGTGTGTGTGTGTGTGTGTGTGTGTGTAACATGAGTGTGTGTGTTTGATGGAGGTGCACCTTCTGGAGACAGGTGGTGTAATAAGCACGCTGGAACCTAACGTTTGAGGCCTGTGTTTAAATGAGCGTCCGTGCCTGCCTACATTTCTGTACACACATAAACAACTTGCTTTTGAGTTATGTATGTATTTGTTTGTGTGTGTGTGTGTGTGTGTGTGTGTGATTATGTGTGTGTGTGTGTCTAGGCCAAAGCCAGTGAATTGCACGGGCCTGGCTTTGGGATGGAGGAGTCTGGTTTGTTGTCTGTCAGCACTACGACTATTTGGGTACAGCTAAGGTGAGAGCGTGCCAAAGCTAGCATAGTTAGCAGCATCGATGCTCTCCTTTGTAACAGATCGCTCTGAGCTGCTCAGCATCGAGATAATCTGTTTAATAGCGAGATGGATTATGCTTTAAAAAAAGAGGACTGACAGGTTACATATCAAATCTTCCCAATAGACTATTTCTAAGAGCCTTGTGACATTTAGAAGAAAATAAAAAGATAGTGATGTGGTCCAGATGTTTTTTTTAGATTAAGCTGAAATATAAGATAATATAATTTCTGCAGGTGTAGGAAAGATGGAGAGAAAGAGAGAGACGTCAGCTGTTAGGCTAGGAATGTGGTGCAACAGAATCGTGAGTGACACTTTTGAAAACAGAGGTTGTGTTTTTTGGGTACTTCTAATGAAGAGTGTCAGAAACGAGAGCGAGGCGGGACACGCCCCTGTGTGTATGAAAGAGACGAGAGGTTTGTGTGGTGTGTGTGTGAGTGGATTTGAGAGCTGCAGGGTCGCGAGGTTTTGCAAATCTAAGTGATTTGTGAACAGAGATTGAGTTAGGTAACAGAATAAAGCACAATACATGTATGTTACCTAATCTAATATAATAAGTAGAATCATCTTTTCGTATAGATCTTGACTTGTTTTTTTTTTGTTTTTTAAAGGAGGTTGCGACAGGCTAAAGCTGATCCAAGCTGTCATTGGGATCGAAACGGGGTTCACCCTGGACTGGGCGTCAGTCGATCACAGGGCTGACACATAAACAAAAAAACATCATTAATGAACATTAATCTAACGACCTAACGAGTCTTTGGATTGTGGGAACAAGTTGACTTATGACCGGCATTGTGAGCCAAAATATTTACAATTGGTTTAACCGACTAATAATTCTGGTGCCGACTAGAAAGGGTGATGAGGGGAATCCATTTAGTCGACTTAAAAAGCACAGCCCTACAATAAATACATCAAAATAAGCATATGACATATGATATGATCTGGATCTTTGCCAACATCTTCCATGTGCTCAGCAATACAAATAAAGTTACATGTAAAATGAGGTCAGTATAACCAACAACATGAAAAAGCTATTAAATAGACCTGGAAAGTAAACAGTGACTCAGCACTCCCAGGTTTATCTTTTCTAAGGAGTTAAAAGTGTGTCAGTCATTCCTTCATCTTTTGAGGATATTGAGTTCTGAAACTGAAGAATATTTAGCTGATTGTGTTTTTGTGTATTAAGCATGATGAATACAGGGCTTTGAGTTCTTCTACCCTGCAGCATTGCTATTTCAGAGAGTGAATACTTTTGGCTGCACCTGTTGTTAATGGGGGACTAAATGAATGCTTTCCTCATGGGTGTAATTCTTCAGTCACCTTGGCTGACACAGTGATTAATAACCTGATATTTTAAGCTTTGCGGTCACACTGATTCATTAAAATAAAGATGTGGCAGGTCATTTAAAAGCATTTAACTCCCATGTGAGCCAAGCACTCACATTTTTATACAAATTACTAAGTGAAAGTTGCTCACAAAAGACGATTCTTTATTACAAAAACACCTGCTCCCTCCGTCTGTTTAAACATGAACGACATTAACAGACTCTCTTAACAAACTGGTTCCTTTCTCTCTCTCTGTCCCTCTCTTCGACACCGAGCCCACAAACGAGGCAAACGGAGCACACAATTACAACTCATCCTCTCGCTGTTGCACCATACGTCCCCGTGTTTCTCACAGTAATTCACACACGTAAAAAGCCCTCCTCTGATCCCCTTTTTCCAGTCACCTAACGGAAATATCCGCTTTAACCATCATTATTGGCGGAGGGAGGAGGGTGGAGTGGAACACCAGGGGAAAAAAGACCATCCAGACATACCTGAGTTGTCAGAAAACTGCGGCACCTCCCAAACGACCGCCGCCGCCTCCGTGTCTGTGGCCTGGACTGTGGGCGGAGACCTGCACCTGTCAATCACCGGGGGCTCCGTATCTAAGAGGGGATGTAAGGTTGTTAACGGGGGGGTGTAATGCTGCAAGAACAGGTGGAGAGCATGCAGTAAAAACAGCACATTAAAGACAGAAATAAGAGTTGTTTAATAACACAAATGATCAGTAACTCCCAGAACTGGAAAAGATAAAAGTATAAAATAAACATCTGGAAGCAGAGAGTTTTTCACTATGATCTGACTTTGTGGATGCAGCGGTTCACAGTGTCAGAGGGCACCAGTTAAACACATGTCTCTAATAAAAAACCACACTGTTCCAGCGTCATAATAACATGTGGAATTGTTCATGGCTACCATGCTTGAGGTTTTTCCCCTTGACTGCTGTGATTACGGAGCGGTTGACATGGGACACCCCTGTTTTTCACTCTCTGCAGTAACACAGTTTGGCACCTGCCGGGGAGGGGCGGACACACTCTTCAATTAAATCAGTTTGACACCAAATGACGAGAAAAGCCGCGGCACAGTCAGGCGGATGGAGTGTTAAACATTTAAGCAGTCAGTAGGTGAGCTAAATGGGTTAAAAAACTTAAAAAAATGGACTCTCTTGCACAGACAAAATGCAACTTCATTAAGTGTCTCAAATCAGATTTCATTACCTTTACCCTCATTCATGTGTTAAAGTTCTGTTATTTTATATAAACTAAAGTAGCACTAGCATGTCAAACAGTTCTCCTTTCATATAGCCGTCTCTAATCCTCTAAAAAAAAACATTTTTTAACTACTTTTAAGACCTAACACACAAGAGTATGTGTGGTCGATTTGTGGTAAAAATCAAAGTGTGACAAAAGCAGGAAAGTCTTTTATCTTTCAAAGCCCTCTGACTAATGCAAAAGTTGATGTTTTGAAGTTTTCTGTTTAATTATATTTTTGTTTGTTTGCTGTTCTTTATTTATTTTTCCATCCTATTCACACATACATTTATCCTGTATGGTGAACAACCTGTTTTTTAAATCCATTTTGATGCGAACCACGAGGTAAAAAAAAACCTGGATCAAAGTGATTCATGATCAACAGCATGCAAGTTCAATTTGGACTTGGTGAGATCTGCCATGAGATTATCAATGTCACTTATCTAACACGTGTTTTATACCAAGCCGCTCGAGTGTGTGTCGAACTTTATCATTAAGAGGGAGAAGAATGAGACAGAAGAATGGACACAGCCAAAAAGCTGATGTAGCTGTTATAAAGGAGACGCCTTGATGTCTCTTCTGATGTCGTTAAAGCTACAACGTCCAGATTTTTTTTACAAGTTTCTTTGAAATTATTCTGCTGGCATAAGTGTTTATTTTTTTTTAGAAAATGAGACAATCCCAGGGACAACTGTGCAGTTTTTTGTGCTTAAATAATTCTCCAAACTGAAGGATATTTCAACTAGGGTGGCACCAAAGTCAGATATCTTTCCATCCATTGAATAAAAAAAAAAAAAGGAGTGAAACCTTAAGTAAAACTAATGTATCTGAAGTGATCCTACAGAGTGAAAGGACTCATGTGACTCATGCTGAGCTCCAAATGAAGCCCTGATGTGATCTCCAGACGGATGAACTCACCGATGACAGTGACAGTGAAGGAGCAGTTGGCCTGGTTCCCCGAGCGGTCCGTTGCGATGTAAATGATGGTTTCTTTTCCGATGGGGAACAGTGCGGGGGGAGAGTAGACCGGCTTCACCTGCACCGCCACCTGGAGGACAGAGGAGACAGGATAATAAGAAAAACTGAAGTTCATCAGTCATTTCATGATATGGGTTCAAAAGGACTTTCCAAAATCCAGAGAGTATCTCCCGCTAGCTTCCATGAATCTAAATGACTTTCAACCTACATTTAGCAGAACAAAATGTTTTGTGAAGCCTCTAACCTCTTCTTTAGAGTTGTCCGTGGCAGTGGGGATGTCCCATCTGACGTTAGCGATGCCGCGCCGCTCATCCGTCTCTGAGACGATGTCCGCGGGGCACTGAATCCACGGAGGTTCAGTGTCTGAGGAGAGAAAGAGGAAAAAAAGAAAAGTTTATGTTTTAGAGAAGGGAGAGAGTCAAACACCTCATTTGAATTCAGCTAATTCAATTAAAATGTACACAAAGTAAGATTCCCACAATGCAGCTGCTCACCCACCACATCTTTTCAACTCTCTGACCTCAGCCTGCTGCTCGTTATCACAGAAGGAGAACATGTGTGATGTCATCTGACCAAGACCTCTTTGATCACCAGGCATCATACTCTGTATACTTTTAATTAGTCAAGCAGTTGTTTTATTGTTTCAACGAGGCTCAATCCCACTGACGTATGCTGCTGTATTTATTGTCCTTTTTTTTTTTTTCAAATTGTCCCTTCAGTTCTGCATAAACAATGTGTTAGAAAGAGGGGAAATGACTACGTGGCAACCTTTAATGTTGAAAAATGAAACCAGTGAGTGCACATAATTGCAGTTCCTCCACTGTCCACTTGAGGCTGACTCTACAAGCCAAGGAATCTCCATTGGACTTGGTACACGGACTTAAGCGCTTTTCTAGTCAGTACCATTGAGATTGGATGTGAATTTTAGTTCCCAAACAAGCAGAAGAGGGTTAGAAACTGTCTTTATTTGCTGTTGAGTAATGCACAGAGCTACGATTTGCTTAAAGGCCCGACAGCGGCACTTTCCACCTTTAAGACTCTGTTACCTGTTTATACAGAATCCTCTCCCTGTTGCTCATTCTTAAAACAGCATGTTGTAATAATGTGAAAGTTCATCATAGTTAGAGCCCGCAGTAAATAAGTAAAGCATCCAAGAATCTGAATCTTGCATCGATCAGCAGTGGTCATGCCTGATGTGTTATGTAAGAAAGTTGTTCACATCTGGGTCTGATGATCCATGCACTTAGGCATCCATCTCCGCTAAACATGAACACACACTCAGCTCCAATCCGCCATTCATCCTCATAACAAGGGAGGAATATTCAAATTTTGGAGTCATCGGCATGAAGGCACTTTGAATTCATGATCTCATCACATAGCTGATCAGCTCATCTTTATTTCCTCTTTGATTTCCCTCTTTTTCCCCTTCTTCCTTCAGCTCATTTGTGCCTGACGAGATCACAGGATCTTCTATTTTCTGCCTGCAGATGACTCAACCTCCTCTCTCACCTTCCCGTTTCATCTCTATTGCACCATCCAGAAGTTCATTCATTAGCAAACTTTCACCTCACTCCAGGAAATGAGAGGAAGGAGCACATCTGAAGGGAGGCAGGCAGAGCCGCTCTGCACCACCTGTTTCACCTGCGAGGCATCTGGAGTGTCAGCAGCCTCTCATAATGATCTCCAGCCTCCAGTTGGAGCTCGGACATGGTGTGGTTTGAGTTAGTGACCTGAGGCTTCAAAACAGAGTAAGCTCGATTCTCACCATTCACAAAGAGGACAAAAATGCAGAGGGGGGGAAACGGAGAATGGAAAAACGTTTCCCTCCAAGTTTCCTGCTGTTTTCTTTTTATATCTTCCTTTTTCTCCACACATTCAGGACCATTTTTCTTTTTGTTCTTTAACAATCCCTCTCCTCCTGCTTTGCAATAAACCAAGTTTATAGATGTCATTCCTTCTAACACTGGAAAATAAGCCCTAATTCCAATTAGCTATCATGGACTTTGTAACTCTTAAAAGGGAAACCTGGACGGTGGGAGCAGAAAAAAAGAGGCCTTAGTGACAGTCATTCATCAGTCACAGGAGGGAAATGGTCTTGGACAGTTTCTCTAACTCTAACTCAAAACTATTCCGCTGCAGGTGAAACCGCAGTATTTTCTTTTCCAGTATCATGTAATTAAATTGTATATTTGGGAAGAGTTTCATAGGTGTAAAGCACAGACTTTCTTTGAAGGTGGCAGTTTAGCACTTTTATAAGCAGGTCCTCTGGTTTTTTGACGGATTTTAAATTTGATTTTTTGAAATTATATACATTTGGAGCCAGAAACGCTTCCCTATGAGGTTATTATGAACTTTTATTTAGTATTTGTTGCCCTTTGGGATGATGTTTCTATGTGTCGATTGGTCGATTTATATCTGTGAAGCTCTGTCTTTTGGTGTTCCTCAGGGATCTGTCTTTGGTCCTATTTTTTTTTTTTAAAGCTGACCTTGACCTCAGGACTGCAAAAGAGAAAATCTATTTCCTCGTCAGGGACACTGACTCTCTCTCTCACACACACACACACACACACACACACACACACACACACACACACACACACACACACACACACACACACACACACACACACACACACACACACACACACACACACACACACACACACACACACACACACACACACACACACACACCATCATCATCATCATCATCACCTGTACAAACGGCTTTATACACATTAGCCGTCCAGTTCCCAGAGCCGAGGCACACCGCCCTCCTGTTCCCCTGGAGACTGTAACCTTGACGACAGGTGAGCAGACAAGCGGAGCCGGGTGAAGCTGCCCTCTTCGTGCAGGCAGGGGGCGACAGCACGATGTTCTTCAGGGTGGTGATGGGGGGACAACGAACCTCTGAGGAAGCAAGACGGAGACACCGAGAGATTAATCTGATTTCTATGGGAGATTTTTTGGTTTAAGGAAAATATCTACAAATTACAAAAAGACTCTCGGGCATCTCTCACACACTGGAGTCTTTTTAGACATTTTTAGGATGCAGAACAGTGAGTCTTTAACTCGATGATGGATGGACCTCCTTCTCTAATTTCGTGAATCGTTGCCTTTAGCTGCAGCAGCTATAAAGGGAAACTCGGTGAGAGGGAGATTTCAATCAGATGAATAAAAACTCCTGCATCCTCTCCGGGCGGCCGAGGCGATCCTGTTTCACCGCAGTGCAAACAAACACTCAAACAAACCACTCAGCCATCCTCGCTGTGTTAAAGAGGCAACGACAGTTTGTGGGGGGAAACGCCGAGATGACCAAACAAACAACTCTAACTTAGTCAGATGGTAGTTATCGATAAAAGGGAGAGTTTTCCGGAAGGCATCGGGTCAGGGTTTTTAAAATAGAGCAGCGAGCTGGTTGGTTGGAAGTGAGTCAGAGCAGGATGGAGGTTTGTGGACACCGTCCTTCTTTTTGTGTGTTTGTGTGACTGGCATGAGTGTGTGCGACTATTTTAACTTAACTATCAGTTGTGAAGTGTGTGGGTACGTTTGTGTGCGTGTGTGAATGTGGTGACTGTCCTTCTTTTTTGCCATGAGAAAGCAGATGTATCTCTTAGGATGATGTAGTGTGGCTCAGTGCAAACACATGTTTAACCACCGTGCTTGTGTGAGAGTGTGTTCTGATGTGTATTCACATGTGTGTGTAAAACCACATGTTTTTACATAGAAACACTCGGATCATGTGTTATTATGGAGTCACTGGTTTGATAAATGGTCTTTCTGTTTTTTTCCAGAGAAACGGGGCTCTCTTTGCAGAAGATAATATGAGCTTGTCGTTATGGCCTTAATTAAGATGAGCTGCTGGAGAAGTCTGTTGTGTGTGTTCTGTAAAGACCCAAGGCTGCAATGTTTATCTTGGAAAATAACGCAAATTGAAAAATAAAGAAATCTAATTAAAATCCATAGATGAAGGAAACACATGACTGTTGATGAAGACGAGAGATATAAAAAACGACGGGTTCAGTTTGATTGATTCACTCTGAGAGGAAATACGATAAGTGAATTAAAGTGGGATTGAATTATGACCCACCTAGCAATGCAAGCACACACAGAAAAGAGGTCATATTCATTAGCTTTTTAAGAGTGAAACTATAAGCCATGAATCATTCCACGGGGAAAATGTTTACTGTTCGAAAGAGAAAAAAGGGTTATCTCAAACTCTTTATCAATCAAAGTAATAAGAATGTTATTCCCTGATTAAAGCTCCTGTGAGGAACTTTCAAAGTGCTCACTCAATCTTGGGGCTTAGTCTGTTTTGAATCATATCCTAACTTTAGATTACATCTTATACATTTTAAACAAGAGTGTTTAATGGTGGAGTTTAATACAGAACCACTAATTCAAGTACACTAATTACCAATAGTATTTACTGTATAGGAAGAATGAGCAACATTTTACACACAGGCCTAAATACAGCAAAAATCAAGAATATGTATGAATATATAAATGTCTATCTGAGCCATGGCTGGGTGAGAAGCTTGAGGCCTGCCAGCTGTGTTGTTGTTAGAGCCGTGTTTACATCATGTTTACATGGACGGGACAGTCGACTCCTCTACTTGTGTATAAAAGCTGTTTTAGTCAGGACTAGAGAGAAGAAAGAACAACAAAGCCCGCTCACTGATTTAAATGGATGTAATGAAGGTGTTTTTTTTTCCGTCGTTCCGTGTCAATTCAGATGCAATGTGAAGCTACGAGCTAACTGAAGTGTGCTAACATTAGCCTGCTAACACAACAATGCAGGCCACAGGCAGTTGCAGCTCGAGCAAAGGACAATTTTGTCCGCCGCTCGTGCTTAATGGTGCTTAATTATGGTGGGTTCCATTTGACAACTCCTCTGTGTGAACGCGAGTGGAGGGGGGTTGGAGGTGTGTCGCTGGAGGAAAGCGGCGGCTTCAGTATGGTGGAGTTGTCACCAAACAGCAGGTTGTTTTGGTTTCATGCTGGTGCTCATGGGCGACATCTACTAGATTAAAAAGTTATTTAAAGAGGGAGATGGCTTTCTTTGGAAACCAAGCTCAAACTTTGTTTTCTTACACTCAAATGTTGATTGAAAGGGGGTGGAGCAAACACGAAAAAAAAAAAAAAAAAAAAAAAAAGGACACATACAGACATTTTTTCATATTTAAGACAGAGAGTAAGATAGTGAGTTTGAGGTGATGAAAGCTTACCCACACACCGAGGTTGGGGTCCACTCCACTGCGAGTTGTTCTGGCAGCTGAGTCTGGAGTCTCCCTCCAGCCTGTAGCCTCGCTCACAGCCCACCTGACAATCCGTCCTGTAGGAGGCGCCGCCATCGCTGCACCTCATGAAGCCGTGCTGGGGCCGAGAAAGGGGCGGGCAGGAGCGCACTGCGAGATGAAAATAAATACAAAATTAACACAGGAATCTAATAACACAAAAAAGTCACACAAAAAAAAATCTTAACTGGATTTAAATCTTGCGTTTCTATATTAGATTTCTTACTTCCTTTTGCCCTCATCGCTCTTGTAAAAGTGTTTCAAGAAGGATAGAAACTCAAATGAAAAGCAATCGTTTAAGTTGAAATACATTTTAAGATATGCTGATGCTTGTCTTTCTGAAACACAAGGTGTAACTTCTAAACACAGGTACTAGGTATGTAAATCACTAGAGGAGGAGAAAGCAGTAAATCAGCTGCAGGAATGTTCAACACAATTATCATCATCAGCTGCAACTCGGAGCCTATCATTTAACCCAAAATGAGAAAGTCCCTACTCAAACAAAACAAAAAAGTCCTCATGTGTTTCTGTTCCGAGTTAACTGAGGTCTAGATGAGGGTGTGTAGTGTGTTAGTTCTCATTGCCTCCCATAGACAGACAGGCGGAGGAGAGTAGACCCACCCCCCCCCACCCCCACCCCCCCACCCCCACCTCAGGGCTTCACAAGCTGGGAGGTCCAACAGTTTGTGGCAAAAGGCTAGACTTGGTGTAACGCATACAAGCAGACGTATGCATACACACTTATACAAAATATATACCCAAAGCCACCGCAATAAATCTTCAACACACACCCTTGAATATTCAGTGTCTTGGTATTTCTATGAGTCACACTGCTGGTTCTGCTGGTGAAACTGACATTTTCCTCGTTAATCTTTTGACCCCCTCAAATTTGTTCTTCCGCTCTTTCTTTCCACCTCACCTCTTCAACTTCCTCACATTTTCACTTTCTTCTCCCTCACTCTCTCTTTATTCAACTGATTCCTCCAAAACTTTTCTCCACCTAAACATCTGTCCTGGCAAGAAAGCAGCGGACTCCATGTTCAGACTAAACACATATGATCTCAATACGTGCGGCAGAGAAATCTCACACACACGCAGCCTCCCTCCCACTCCGGTTTGTAGGAGTAGAAGATATCAACTCACTTTTGATACTGTGGATTTAATGCTACATAAATGTTTATGAACGCTAACAGACGTTAGGAGGGAAGCGACAGACTGTGAGGGCTTTAAAAACGTCCTACAGCTTCATGAGGAATGATACGAGACATGTGGTGTGGTGTGGAGGAACCTGCTGGGATCAATCAGACCAGCTTGGATGTAAGAGTGTAATCGCCACACAGCCTGCTGGAGCATCATATTGTGAGATACCATACGCTTCATGCAGGACAATACTAAGCTGTCAGCATGGAAAGATGTAAATACAATCTGATGCAAAAAGCAACAAGTCTGATTTTTGAGCCTTCTTCCTTTCTCACGAAACGTAAATTTGGTTTCATTATTAGCAGTTCTGTGGTGCTTTTATCTTTATCAAACTGTCAACAATAAAGGAATGACACAGTATAAAGAGAGAGATATGAAAGTCTCTCAGCTTGACTGGAGTTATGTTATAGTGACTTATTGTCAGAGCCTCAAACAAAATGTGCTTCGCTATATGAACAATATTGCTGTCCTGGTGTTTCATATATGTAAAGCTCCTGTGAGGAGTTTTAAACTGGTTATGTGACAGGCTAAATTACACTGGCGTCTCTATATGACCTACAAAGTCGAATTATTATGTATACTGTAAACATACTGCTTCATATGCCTCCCTCTCCCCCCTGCAGTAAGGTAGGTGTGCACACACTGCATTTTTTAGAAGCTCAGTAATGAGATAAGTCGTCCAGCTTTTTCTACAGGGGAGCTGCAAAATAGACACAAGTGAAAGTACGTCACAGGAGCTTCACGGTGTCTTTTGAAGACGTAGGCAAGGTATGCAAATGGAAAAAATTAACTTAACTTCCACATTTGCAGAGATGTGTTTAAATGTGAACTGTTCCTGTATCTAAATCAATTAAAGAACGATGAAAAAAAAAAAAAAGACAATGAGTCTGATCCTCTTCAAAGTTTCTGACCTAATAAAGGAAGTCTTTTCTTGCTGCTTTTTTTGTAATTTCTTGTAAACTGAAGAGTGAAGGTGGGTCTCTGCAAATATAATCATGACCTGCTCTTTATAAGTGTGACATGGTAACTTTGGGTGTAATTTAGCGTTATATGATCAAAAATGATTAGAGCCGGACGCTGTCAGCATATCGTCTGGTACGTTTGAACATCATTCATGAGGCTAGTTTCCCGCCTCACCTTTGCAGCTGGCAGGAGTTCCTGACCAGGTGCCGTCAGCCTTGCACAGTCTGATGCCGGTCCCCTGGAGGTCAAAATCTGGCTGGCATCGCACGCCGCAGGCCGCATCGAAATGGTTGTTGCATACATTTTGGACGAAAAAGCCATTTTTTGGAGGAGACAGCGCTGGACAGTGAACCACTAAAAGAGAAGAGGAAAGACGAGAAAACATTGTGAAATCCTGAATTTCATATCAAGGCTGACGTTTAAAAAAATAAACAAAACAGACACGAAGAGAAAAACTGGCTGGCAGGAAACACATACGGACACATGGGAAAGTTAATGTTCCTGACAACGGCGATGAGAAAGCGTGAAAGCAGAAAATTACAGGTTGTCAAACATGACTTCTAAAATCTACACAGAGGGAGGAAGAGAAAGCATGAAAGTGAAGATTAATGAACAGACATTGTTTTCAGATGATCTGCGGCGTGGAAATAACCCGATCATTCTTCAAGGAATGGGAGGAAATAACTGGAAGAAGATTCATTGTGGAGGATATTCTTCAAACCCAAACTGTTCTTGTTCCAGTAGATTAGTCTCAATGTAACGCTTCATTTTACACATCTATAGTTTTCATTGCCCTTACTAAACATCCTATTTGGCTGCAAATCCTCCCAGATTTCTTTATGGATCATGTTTATTCAGGTGTTTAAGTCTTTATGTATAGTTTTCCACATCGTTACTAACTCAGAGTGCTTTAAAGTTTTCCTTTTCCAGGGTTATGTGTGCACAGTGGAGTCTTCACTGGCCTGGCTGGGAGTCAGATGAAGGGTTCAAATAAGTACCTTAAAAGAGAAATGTTGGTAATGAGTCATAGATGTATTGTTTAAAAATGAGACACAATGACATCACCCATAGTTTTTTTTATGTAATTCAGTTTTGAACCTTAATTTGCCGGCGCTGTCTTGTTTTCCAGAGATCAGAGATGACCATATTTGGACAACAGGGTGAATACACGTTGCTATGGCTCTATCCTGGATGACCCTAAATGACCCAGGATGACCTTGGATGTAAGACATAGTGATGGTTTTCACCTTTAGTTGTCACGAGAGTGAGAACAGCTGTGGTCCATTCAAATTCACAGGTTGGCAAATACTCAGATAGCGATGCTTCTCACGTCTTTTTGGCGTCTCATGAAGATGCGGAAGTTACATTAGTGTCTCTTAAAAAACGGACAGAGAGCTTGCACTGTCTACATAGCACAAAATCATCAACGCATTTGTGCCTGCACACTGTCTGATAATTAGAAAGAAGAAATTGTGGTTGCTTGAGTCTTCTGTTTTTGTTGCCAGGAAAATAGACGGTCTATGGTGCACATACACAATACTTGGCCTCCCTTTTACTGTTCAACTGATTTCCCTGGAAAGCCTTGCAGGAAAATGATCGTCTTAAGTTGTTAAATTATCTCATTTAAATGTTTTAAATTCAAACAGGATGGAAGTTCAAAGGGTTTGAAAAGGGATTTTCTGCTCAATCAAAAATTCTTTAGTTAACAGATGAGTTCGTCTTACCCTGGCAGGTCACTCCGATCAGCTGATATCCCGGCTTGCAGACGCAGTCAATGAGGGCGGTGCTGCCAGGCTGGGAGGTGTGCTGCGGGTCAGGGCAGGACAGGCAGGTGCTCAGGCCTCCTGGTGCTCCCTCTGGTTTGTATGTCCCGGGTGGACACGCTGGTAGGAGAGTAGAGAAGACGCTAAGTGAGCAACACAATCCAAAAGCACTCCCTCTAAATGTATGTAATGTCATGCACCAAGACAGAGACAGCTGGATGGAAAGATTGGACGGTGGACTTGTTTGAAAGAAAATTAAGCTGAAATGAAAAGCTGTTTTCGTGACTGAGAGTGAAAAACAGCTTTATGGATTTATGTGGAGACTTTGATCACATTCATGTCTGGACATGTACTGGAGTGGCGGAAAATATGGCAAAAAAAAAAAAAAAAAAGAGGACAAAATGATCTCACAAGCGAGGTAAAAAAAAAAAAAAATAAAAAAAGACAAATTCAGCTCAGAGTTTTAATTATTCCAAGCAGGGAAAGAGCATTTTCATTACAAAGAAATGCAACAATCAAAGAAAGGTTTATGAGCTTCAAAAACCAGGAATGGTTCTCATGCTAGCTGGGAGGAGAAAAAAAAACCTTTTGATCACCTGCACACACTCACAGACACACAGAGACACAATACATTGTGTTTCCTATTAGGATCACCTGAGTGTGATCACAGGACACGCTGTGAAGATGGGGGAGCGAGGGGTCATGTGAAGGTCCTCCAACATTCTTTCATTCACCATCAATCGAGCTTCATAAAAAAAAACAGTCTCGGTGCATCACTTTCTTTCTCTGCAGAGGAGTGAACATCCATCACATGCTCTTATCTGTGCTTTAAATGGCACTCTGACATGGGGGATTGTTCATAAATTACCTGATTAAGCCTGATGTAATTCCTTGTAATATGTGAGAGTGATGTCATGTGCAACTGCAGTGAGCTCATGAGTCTCTGATGTTTTTTAAGATTAACTACTTTAAATTCTGATGATGATCAGATGATGAATTATGTTATCTCCAGGGGCAACAACATCTCTTATCAGCCATTACACGGGTACTTTCACACAGGCAATTTGCTGAGTTGGCCCCATACTTCAAAGGGATTACTGGTGCAGGGAAACAAACGTTATCAGTTGCTCCCTAAAGTAAATATGTAATTTTCCTCTGTTTGGGCATGCATGTATAACAGGTGTTATTTTGAGCCAATCATATGGGAAATCTGTAATCTCTGCAAACTGCAACCAGACACAATAAAACTACAGCACACCACAGAGTGAGATAATATGTCATACATATCAAATACAGTTAATTTATTAGGGGTTGACAGTTGTTGTTTCTTCTGTTACTGATGTCATAGCCCGTTCAAGTTGATCCAAATGTTGTTTGCATTAATTGGAAAAACAAACTTGTACTATTGACTGCATGGGTTTACAAATCAGAAACAGGCGACAAAGTTTCAGACAGACTTTTTCAGACATTTTCATTTGGTGTTGTGCACTTTAAAGCAGAAAATCTGAACGTTCTCCAACCCGCACCCACATACATCATTTAAGCACTTACAATAAATACAAAAATACAAGACAAACTTCGTTTTTCATGGAGGATATCTGATTGGATTAGAAACCATCAAGGGTTAGCTTTACAGCTATTTAGAAGAAGTGAGTTATAAAGCTTAGTTTTGTCCTTGTTGGCGTCTGTTCAAAAGTCGCGGTTTTTACGACAACAAGCTTAAGTAAACTGTGTCAAACATTATTCAACACACAGGTTGGACTACAAGGCGCTCTGCACTGTAGGTGCAACAGAGAAGCCACAGTACTAAGGCTCCTCACAACTCATTTACTCGCCGCTAAGCCAGAGGCCAGGTGTGAATTTCCACTGCTGAGCCAATGCCAGCCTGCCCTCCTTCCTCCCTTCTCCTCCCCATCCATCCCTCCCTCCCCCTTCATGAGCAGTTCAGCCAGGAGATGTTAACCGACTGTAAAGCAGACACCGGCTGCTGGCACTAAAATGCACCCAGTTACCCACATCAAACACACACACACACACACACACACACAGAAAAACCATTCAGTGTACGTTTGATAACAAAAGCAGCCGATGCAGCGTCTCCGTCCTGAGTCCTTTACACTCAGAGGAGGCATCTTACATAAGCCTAAAGTGTCTCCTCTGTTCAAGTCTGTTTTACAGCTTCATTTAAGGTTTTACAGGAAAGCTCGTCACTTTTTATGCGGATAATGATTCAGTCAGTGGAAATATTGTATCGAAAAAAAATATATAAAATTGAAATTCTGGGCAGGTTTGCATGGGCTGGCAGGTAGAAATGCACACACACAGATGCATGGTTACACTTTGAGGCAGAGCCACACACACACAGGTTTAATGGCTAAGGGGCTTGGGACAAAGTAAGGACTGAGTGATGGATGAGGAAAATCAAGCCGTTAATGTGACATGAAAATGAAAATCTGGAGGATGAATATGAAAGAAAAGTGTGTGAATCGCCTTTAAAATGTATCCCAGCTCCATTACTTGAGACCTCATGCTGAAACACTAATTGCGTTTGGATCCTGCACTGCTCTATACATAGTCCCAATTGGGGTCCATCTGAACTGAGCTGCACTGTACCCTTCATTTAGAGAGGAAGTGGAGCGTCAGTGGACCAGATGATCATAAAACAGAAAGAGCCTGCTGTGGCTGGACTCGCTGTGTGAGCCTATGGAGAGACAGCAGCTGCTCGAGACAACTACTGTAGGCAGAAATAATCCGAGGAGAGGAAAATGCGAGTTTCTGTGCTCAGAAGCTAAACCTATTTCAAGTCAGAGCAAAATTCAAGAAACCGTACAGTTTTGTCCTATTATGTTGTTTTTTTTAAAGAGGTTTCACTATTGGCTTCATCAGAGAGAAATATTACTTTAATAAAGATGTTGTGGGTTCACAAAGCAAACATTTTTGAGAGGAGAAGGGAGGTAAGACCAACAGAGATATCTCCATCATTCATGCAGAATGGAGAACCACTTTGACCCCCTGAAACACTACAAGAAGGTTCGGCTCTACTCAAGTCATCTACAGTGTGAGACTGGCTGGATTTCTTGTTGCTCTATTTGGCGTTTTACTGAGTTAAAGAGCTAGCCTTAGCGCTAAGCAGGGAGTGACTCATTAGCAGAAAAAATTGCAAGAGTAGACTCTCAATTTTTACATAAATCGTAAGCAGCACTTCTAAGATAACATTTATTCCAAACCTCTGAATACAAAGACACACAGCTCACTAAAGAGCCAACTTTTTAGCTTTCACTTTAATAAAATGGGGAAAAAGTCCCAGGGTTTAACAGGCAGTAATAAAAGGAAAGACAGTGACAAAACCAAGGAAAAGCCAGTTCATCTGTTAAAGTCTTTTCTCCTAATATCAAGTAAGTCATTTAAAGTGGCTGGGACGTCAGGCCCAGGAGCCAAAGTTACTATCACACGAGAATCTCTGGTGTCTCTGGGGGAAGGCTGCGTTTGATTAGCGAGGCCTAAAAACAGACTGCGACGGAAACGATGAAAAGAGATCCAGAGGGAGAGGGAGAACATCTGCCTTCTTAGCCACAATGAGAGATAGAAGAAAGGGGGAAAGTGGCTTCTTGGAGGGACACATTCAGCTTCGACCAACAACATTCCACAAACACATGTTTGCAAAAACACATGCTTATCCATACAGTGCATACCCACACTGGTTTCCATATGTTACCTAGAACATAAACCATTGAACTCACAACAGATATTATGCACTCAGATAACCCCAAAATAAGCAAATGGCAAATTGGTATGGATGGTTCCCAAAAGGTCAGGGTATCAAATCTCTGGTGTTGATGCATTAAATAATAAAAGTTTATAGAAATGTATTAAGGGAAGCAGGATGGGCTAGCGGTTGTGTGGCGCACCCCCTGTACAGAGGCTGTGGTCCATGACTTGGTAAAGTATTTAAATCATAGTCATGTACTGTATATTTAGTCACTTTAACACATGTTTAATTGCATTGTGTTTGGTTATTCCAATGAAATAACTGCCAATGTTGTTAGCTAACATAATTAGTTCCAATTTTCCTGAGTTTGAACGCTGTTGGACAAATTTGGGACAATGATAGTCAAGATCTCGAAGGAATTTAAAACACAGGTCTAGTATAAGACATTTTAATGTGAAATTGTTCATATTTAACTTCTTACAATATGAGGAATTTCAATACACAGACTCGTGCTTTTCGTGGAGCCAACGTTGGATTGGCATCCGAGTTATGTAAGAATAGTTTTGGGTCTTCGGCTTTCATCACAGAAGGCTTTCTCTGCTTTATTTTTTCATGGGGATTTAGTCAATGAACAATTTAACTTCACCAAACAATTGTGTAAGTAACACTCAATATTGTACAATTGGAAACACTTGTCTATCCTCCAGATAACAGACAAGATCTAAATTAAGGGAACTTACTGTAACTGTCAATGGTTAGCTCATATTATGGGCATTATGTGCAGACAAAGTAATAAATACTTATGTGATTCGTTTAAAACTTGCAATGCCATGACCCAATTCTGTCAGTCTGTATGTCTTCAAAGCCAAATAAAAGAGACAGAGGAAGTCCAGCAATATTTCGAATGAGCTGCTAAATCTGGACAGAGGCCTGGCCGCTTGTGGTTGAAGGCCGTCTCACACATGAAATGTTGTTAAGTTGGGGTTTCAATTCCAGGGTATTTCACTAAGAAAACAATGTTCACATGCAAGCAAACTTTCCACTCTTATCGGAGACTTCCCAAGAATACTCACAGAAAGAAAATAGACAATGGAAACGGACAATTAAAATGTATAGTCTAGGGTATAAAATAGACGTGCATTCACCCAAAGGTTTTACAGAGACGTGAAGTAACTGGAGCTCAGTTTGAATCTTTCATTTGAAGGTAAACACAGTTTGTATATACATTTATCCCGAGCCTGCAGGTTATTCAGCAGAATTCATCTGGACCACCAGGCTTGCTCAAAGCAGCGGGATAAATGTATGTAAAGAATGTGAAGGGTTCTTCTGTGTAACTAAGATGGACACCTACAAGTGTCAGAGAGTCAAACACAATCAGCCTAATAGAACAGATTGAAGACTAAACCTCTAC